TTTTTTTTTTTTTTTTTTTTTTTTTTTAAACTGTATTTGCAAAGCAAACAATCTGGAATTTTAGATGTATACCTGCCTTTTTTTTTTTGAGGTTTGCATTAGTGCCTGCAAAACTTATTCCCAAAATTTGGTCTTTGGAAATGGCCAACAGAACCAGTGATCCAGATACAGGTCTGACAATACAGCAGGCAACAGGGGATTCGAAAATTTGCAGTGATTCCCTCATGCTCTAAGTGTATAAGCTTGGAATAATGTAAGTCTGAGAGTCAGATTTTCCTCATATCCTTTCATTATACAGAATCAGGGAATTAGATTCAAAATAATCTAATTTTCCAAATTGTTCATCACACTGGAAGACTTAGTGTTGTAGGAATTCTGTCCCTAAACAGCAAATTTGACACTGATCTATAGTAGCACTGAACAGGAATACTTAAGAGGAAAATTTCCATCAATAAGTGAAATTTAGTAAATTTGATATTCTAATAATTATGATATCATTATCTCTATTTTATCCTATTAACAAAAAAAATGCCATACAAATGATTGTGGACACTTGTAAAAAGATATGGGATATTGGAACACTGGAGGAACAATCAAATGTTTTTTTGTTAAAGGTACTATTCTAACAGTTACGCACTGAAATGGTAGTTGTAATTCTGAAATACCATCAAACAGCACGGCTGCTCTCAAAACAACAGGCAAAGCACAGTAACAGTTTCTATACCAGAACAAAATTCAAAACCAAAAGTGCTTTTATTGAATAAATTACTTTATCAGCCAAACAAATAAAATCACACTTGTTTTACAGTACAGCAACATTGACATCTAGTGGCTAGTTAAACTCCACATCCTCCATAGACAAAAAAGTTGTGGAACAAAACATTTACAGAATTTGACATAACAAATGCGCATGTCCACAATGTCATGTCTTTACATAATCGCTATGTCATTACAGAATGACTGAAGGCTTCAATGACTAACCTGTAATGACCAGTCCTCATCATGGGAACTGGTAAGCATGAGCCATCACGCCTCAGCGCAGCCCCTCTGATTCTTCCTGTTTGTTAGGAATTCCTGCACCTGGGAACCAGCTGTGCCTTAAGCATAGACCTTTCTTGGAGCTCACTGGAAGGCACTGCTCATCCCTTAGTTGCACAGAGATATGTGTAAAAGAAGACAAACTACGCTCACAGAATGTAATGCTACTGTCACATGTGAACCTATATTTTTCATCCTACTTCATTTTCTACAGACTACTAGGAGACTTCAAATAGAGAGATGAAAATCAGATACATGACAGATGCCATGAGACTGTTCATATTATGAAGATATGAAAAGAAATGATTAGGCAATTTCCATAGAATTTAGGAAGGAGCCAGTAATACTAGAATGTCTCATTTCCTCATTTTTTAACATAACTGGCTTAATGGAGAAAGAGGAAAGAATAGACATGATAAATCTAATGATAATTCTGGTGATAAACCTAATACTTCAGATTTCTGAATTATTTTCTCACATCAAACCCAAACATGCACTCTGCAAACAGCTCTTACCATGGCTGTAGCTGGTAGTCCTGCCTTGCCCTTGCTGCCTCTTCTGATAAAGCTGCCTGATCTTGATTTGCTGCTTTACAAATTGGTGGCAGTTATAATCAGCTACCCAAACTAACTTTGGCCAAACAGATCAGACACTACTGAATATAAGCAAACTTATCAGAAGACCTTAGGAGACAATAATCATGGGATTACTGAATAAGTTCTTCAAAAAGAAAAGCCTACCAGTATGTATGTCTTCCAGTATTCAAAAATGACAAAACGCAGACGAATTTTTGCCTTCTGTATCAAATGGTTTAGGACATTAAAAATTATCTCAAGGAGCAACAAGGGAGATTTGTCCTAGATATTAGGAGAAAACACATGTATACACCTAAAAGATTAATAGATTAAGCTATTTATGCTGTGAAAATTCCTCTACTGGAAATTTTTAGGAAGAGCTCAGGAAGCTTCAAAAGGCATGGCCTTTTGAATTACCTATCTCTGTGACTGAGTACCTTCCTTTGGTATGCACATGTTGTTCAGACTATCCCTCATGAAAGTATGGGGGAATTATGTAAATGAACAGGTTGCTTAAGTAAACATTATGCTACTCCCAAAATGACAAGGAAGAAGGTCTGAGGTCTGCTCTGAACCCACAGAGGCACATTCCTGATGCTGAAATAAACCTTCCTCCCTGCAGCTCGAATGATATGAGTCAATATCTAGTCATAAATCTTTTGATTCCAGCAAGTTCTAGCGCCCATTTAATAAATTTGAATGACTGAGAAGTGGCAAATTCAATCCTTGTGTTTCTCTTTTTTTTTTTTTTTTTGTTTGGTCGTACTGAGACTATCGCCATGGTCTGCGTAGTGGGATGTGATTGCACAGATTACTGGAAACGAGTGAAAGCAGAGAAGCTAATAGGCTCGGGAGTATTTAAGAATCATGGACATTACATTCTATTATTATAAGAACATTCCTGCTTCGTAGTAATTTCCATTTCTTCATCCCAGAAATTTCCCATGGAATTGTTACACTACGTTGTCAGAAAACTGAATAATTGAAGTTGTATAAGAATGTGTCAATGATATGAAAACATAAGAGACAAAACATTTTCTTCTTGGATGTTTTAATAACATGTCTGACTTAGGTTTTCTGGATACACTAAATCTCATACTCAGCCCAATCTAGATTTAGGTCAGGAGAAAAAGGAGAACTACAGTGACACTACCTCCCTTACGGGCCATGAAGTTCAGGGCTACATTTAAGAGTATGGTTTCCCATTACTGCTAAGCTGATTTAATTGCGAGCTGCTGCTGAAAGGGCCACCTTCATTGCTCGCCTTCACCTTGCCTCCTGTCCCATTCCTCCATTCCCGCTTTTTTTTTTTTTTTTTTTTTTTTTTTTTTTTTTTTTTTTGCACCAGCATTGTTATTCATCAGCTGCCACAGCAGAAAAATCAAAGGAGCTAGACTGGCTGAAAATCAAATGCTACGGTTCAGCAGATGTAGTCCGACGAGCACAAGTATCAATGTGAGAAAAGCAATGCTTTTTTTCTTCAGCAGCAGCCAGACAACAGACTGATGCATCCACAAGGGAAACTGTGCTCCTAAGGGCTGATATACCACAGTCATGGAAATCCACATTAAAAATGCAGTGACCCCACCCTGCAAGAAGTGATGCCCATCTTTTTTCCTTTTCACCTGCATCTTTCAGTCCTATGGGAATCTGTTGACAGAATCATCCTTTTTGGTGTCAAAGAACACTGATGCTACATTTAAAGTATGGACTTAGTCCCAGAGGATGGAGCTATAATCCACGTATGAAGGGCTAAGGGCAGGCTTGGATTCAACTTCTAGTTTATTTAGGAGGTCATTTCTGATCCACTTATCCAGCTGTAGGTTGTAAAGGAGCTTGCTGCAGGCTTTATGGGAAAAGCAGTCAGAGTTGGGATGCTTTAAAGCAACAATCAGAAATCAGAAAAGTAACACAGTAAAATGAAATTATCTAGTTGCTGTTCCCAGCAAAACTGATTATAAAGTAACTTCAGCATCTATAACAGTTGCTATAGTGAGAATCACTGCAGAAATTTCCTCTGCCCCAGAAAGTTTATATTTTCTATATGCAGGTTTTTGTGGCCACAGCACAGTGAGGAGAGATTCAAGAATTGCACATCATCCCTCTACCTTTCCCTCTTTTCTTCAAAGTGCATAATCAATGACAAGTTGGCCCAGTTTCCAGAATCATGTTGGGATTCATTCATACTAAAGCAGTCTGCCATTTCCAAAGAGAGGAACAACAAAAAGAAGATGCCTGCCATTACAGCTTTGTGTGTATACATTATTTATTTTGAGATATTTGAATTATTAACTAGGATAATTCCATTTTTGCAACAGAGAGTCTCTGCCCTTTAGAAGAAATGGGCCACATTCCGTGGGACTTGTGCAGACTGTGGCATGCACTCCAACAAGCATGTAAGCACTCTGCTCCTTTGCAGGGGGGGGACACCGCCTCTAAACCCCTTCAGAGTTAAAACAACACAGTGAGTGACCGAAATGTAAGATGGAAAACACTCCTCCTGAAACTGAAATTCAGTAGCGGAGATAAGGAGGCATGAGGAGTTCTGCGCTGTGTGATAGCCTGAGTGCATAACAGCAACTCCCTACAACAGCTGTTTTCTTTGGTAACAATGAGCACTTCAATTTTTATAAGTTCCCTGTGGGAAGTGAATTAAGACTCCGGGAACCAATAGCACAGTTGGAAATTCTTATCCATTCCAGCACAAAGCATCGGCGATGGACTGAAGCGTTCCTGACCTCAGCAGTCAGAACGCTGGCTCAGGTACGGTGTGTGCTAACGCTCCGTGGCACAGCACCAGCTCCCCGACAGCTGCTTGCTGCATCTGATGCTTTAACGGTGGAGACTGCCATCTCCCAGCCAGCTCATCAGAATTTTTAGTTCATACAGCTCCTTCTCCCCATGCAATCTCCACACTTCCCAGCTCCGCCGCCGTCCTTCACGGAAGCCGCCCTTCCCAGCTGCGAGAGGCGGCAGCGAGGCACAGCGCGGCACCTGCGCCCCGCGTCCCTCCGCCGGGCAGCGCATCGCCCGCGGCCGGGCGGCTCTGCCGCCGGGCCGTTCCTCCCTCACACTCCCCGTCGCGGCCGAGGACGCTGCCCCGGCTCCGTCGCCTCTCCCCAAGCGACCCTTTCCTCCGGGCCGCTCCGCTCCTCGCGCCCCGTATCGCGCCGCGAGACGTTCCCGCCCGCCCCGGCTCCTCCGGGCGGCACGGAGCCGGGGCTCCGCGCGTCCTACCTTCCCAGAGGCGGAGACCGCCGAGGCCGGCGCCGCGCACCGGGTTCCCGGGCGGGGAGACTCCCCTCGCCCCTATACATGATGAGCGCCTTTCCCCTCCCCGCCCCGTTGCCGCGGCTCGCCCTCCCCCGCCCGCCCGCGCCCCGCCGCGCTCCGCCGGTTCTCCGCGCCCCTCCGCCCGGCTGCTCCCGGCGCGGCCCCGCTCCGCCTCTGCCCCGGGTTTCCGGTAGGGGCCCGTGAGAGCTGCCCGCGAGCTGAGCTCGGCACAGCAGACGTAGGAGGCGGCTCGCGTCCACCGGCAGCCGCCGCCATGGTGCCCGGCCAGCTGCGCCTCGCCGCGGCCGTAAGTGGGGCCGGGAGGGAGGGACGGAACGGAGGGACGCGAGGGGCGGGCGGCGCGGTGCGGCGGGCAGGCCTCGCTTTGTAGGCCGCCATGGCGGCAGCTGCGCCTCTGCGGGGACGGAGCCGAGCGGTGTGCGAGGCAACTGCGGGGATGTGCCGGACCGGGCGGCTTTCAGGGCCTACAGCTTTGGGTGGCGGTGTTCGGGCCAGCACAGGCCTTCCTCAGCGTCCTCTACACTACAGAACCACGCAAAGCTCCCTGCTGCTGTGCTCTGCTACTGTTTACGTTTTACTTCTCCTTTTATAGTTCTAAAGCCATAATACCACTAGTAATAATAAAAACTTTGCAAAGGGGCTGCACTTTATGGGTGGATTTCCTCGTTGTTAGGAGTGTTTACTGTACACTATATACAAATACATTTCGTAATTGCTTTAACACGGAAGAGTGGGTTTGAAGCTAATTGAATTTACTGTTAGTATTTTGGGGGCCTTAAGTCCTCACAGAGTGCTTTGCTGTGAAGCAGGCCCACCCCTGCATGTACCCTGTGTGCAGCCGGGACCGCTCCTTGCAGATCAGTTCTACAGTCCATGCTTGTGTGTCTCTAGTCTGTGTCCTCCAGTAGTCTGTGTGCCCCAAGACGAGCTCCTAGGGCTGGGAACAGAGCACAGGGCAGAGGTGGGCAGTCACCCTCCTCCCACACACCCATTTTAAATTACGTTTTTATAGTGCCACTTTCAGTTCAGCAGCGTGTCATGATCAGGAGTCAATTATGACGGTTCTACGTTATGTCCCTTTCGGCAGTGTGCTCTTACTTCAATGAAAAGGGAGGTTTGAAAAGTGCATCCTTTCCTGCATGCAAATGCCTTTTGCAGATGTGCTACTGGGGAGTCTGCAGTGTCCAGCGTTTGCCATCACCTGCCTGATGCCAGCAGTATGCAGTGCTAGGACACTTACCTTGTTTAAGTTGCTAGTTTCGTAGGAGCCTTAATCTAGTTGGCGTGGTATTTTGCTATTAATAAGTCCAAGATGTTGGAATTACTTAATTGTCAGTGATTTATATGCTTTTCTTGTTTGGAAAAAAAAAAAAAAAAGGTCCAGTGTTAGAACAAAAAACAAAGCACATTAAGATAACCTGTAGCTTTCAGATTTCAGATTCATCTTTAGATGAAGTGTTTGGTATTTACCTTGCTTCTTTACTAAAGCTATTGTTAGTTTCTGGCAAATTTCGTCAAAGCAGAGGTGATAAGAAAGGTTTTATCAAATAGCAAAAATGGTTATTTTAAGTTTTGTTGATAGTTTTGCATGACCATAATTACATATGCCTTTCAAAATCTCTTGGGTTAAGCAAAAACTTTGGTATCTGCCTGTCTTTTACTACAACTATGATATGTGTCTTACTTACCTTGGATTGTTGGGTGTTGAGTTGTTTGTTTTTTTTGAAGTAAGAGAGAAAACAGACTTGAAATTTCGTGTCAAGCAGTTGTCTGTTTACCCTCTCCTTCCAAAGCAGGAGTCATGTCTGGATGAGATTCTCTGAGGACTTCATTTCTATGTTTTACCTAATATTCAGATTATCTGGAGACCATCCTGAGGTCGACAGGGCTCCCTCATTGTTCGGTGGGGTCACCACAAGTGGCCTCAGTGCTGCTGGAGGTGCTGATATGCAAACCAGCCTCAGCTCAGCACCTGCCTGCTCTACTATTGCCTTCAAGGACTGAGCAGTCCATAAGTATTGGGAGATCAGTCATGGGTGGTTGTTTTTTTTTCACCCTGAATTTGTATTAAACTGTTGGAGTGATTTGGAGGAATGGCTGAAGCTGTGAGGGGTTTTCTGTTGGAAGAGCAGCTTCTGAGGACCCAGCCATACCTGTACTTGGCAATCACAGCTTCCCAAGGCAGCCAGCAGCTCAAGAACTCCTCTCATCATGATTCCGTTGAAGCTACCTTTTTTTTTTTTATATAAATTTGATTCATTCCTGAAATCAGCTGGGAGCTGATTACTGAGTACATCTGCTTCTTTCCAGCAGCCAGTCATCCAAGGGCAACCACTGCAAATATCTCCTTTTATTTGAGCTTTTCTCATCTTGCCTGGTTTCATACGTCATCTATCTCATGTTGACTTGCATTCACTTTGTGTTGGCTTTAACTTTCTCCTGTTCGAAGTGCAAGGGAAGCTCTCTGTTTTCATCTGGGAAGCATTACATTTGCTGTTTAAAACATTCCTGGATTACTGTGCTGTTTTTAAGATTTAGAGCCCAGGCTTAAAAGTATTTGCTGTACATACATTTCAGCAAACTCACAATGTAAAGTCAGCCTTTTTAGAGGCCACATAAGCTTTATTAGTGAAGTAGTGCTTTCATTAGTGAAGAGTTGCTGTTAGAAGCAGCCTCAGCTGTGGGAGCTGCTCCTGGGCTGCAGCTTGTTGTGGCACTGCTGGGAGAACTTACCAGCCTTTGCTGCTCCGTTGCCAGTCCTGGCAACCTATTGTACACAGGCAAGTGAGTGTGGCTGAATGTGATATTAATAAAAAATTTTAAAAAAATCTTAAAAATTACCGAACAACCAGTGGTGTGAAAAGGCAGTGTTCTACATACTCTGCACCATAGAGACCAGTTGTTGCTGTCAGTAGATGATACGGTTGAGACTCCAGAATGGCATCAGAGGGAGGCATTTGCCTCCAGAAACGACACCTCATCAAACCCATCCTTAAGGGTTTGTTTTTACAGGTTTTATTTTTGTCAGGCTTTTGTCTAGGGGGGAATGCAATTATAGGTAGAGTAGGAATTGACACTGGTTTTTGGGGGTAGGATAATTTGTGACTTGGGTGAGTGATTTGGTCTGGCTCATGGGTGGTTTCACAGAATCACAGAATTGTAGGGGTTGGAAGGGACCTCCAGAGATCGAGTCCAACCCCCCTGCCAAAGCAAGTTCCCTACCCCAGGTCACACAAGTAGGTGTCCAGGCGGGTCTTGAACATCTCCAGAGAAGGAGACTCCACAACCCCCCTGGGCAGCCTGTTCCAATGCTCCATCACCCTCACCATAAAGAACTAATTGCGCACATTTGTGCAGAACTTCCTATGCTCCAGTTTCTGGCTGTTTCCCCTTGTCCTGTCTCCACACACTGCTGAAAAGAGTCTGGACACAACCTTCTGCAGCTGGGCAACTAGAAGGAAGTGGCTTAATCCATTGTTTCCTGAAATAATTGGGCGTGTAGCTGTATGCTGAAAAGCAGAGATGACAGATCTGGGCTTTAGCCAGTGTTTATTCACTTGATGGCATTAAAATATGGTGTATGTGCGTGTGTATTATATGTATATATACATATAAACATACTAACTAGTAATAGTTCAAAAATATACAGAAGACATTTTATTCCATGGTTTGAATGTTTTGCCTATTAAGCTGTACATTTTTGCAAGCATGTTGTTTTGTTTTTTAATTATTTCAATCAGCTTTCCAGTTTTTTGTGTAAGAACTAACGATCTAAATTATTGTACTACAACCCAAGAACCCTTATTTTTCATCTTTGTTTATTAATGTGGACACATGATTTTCTGTCATCTAGCCCTCTGAAAAAAGTAGTTTATGGAGGAAAAAACTCACCTATTTGTGTATAAGGGAGGTGGTTTAAAAGTAAAGACCAGGAATGTTTTATTGTCATTTTATTATCTGCATCAGTGAAGATTAAGTATGGAAATATATGCATATTAATTATTTGTAAAGTGATTTTTTTGACCGACTGACTGACCGTGAGAAACCATAGTTCCTTTGTCCTACACCATTTGTTCTGCCTTATATGTTGAATTTGATTTGGTGTAGGTATACGTGCAAATTTGCACTTGTGTACTGCATGTCTTTCTCTTATTCATGTGTGATGTGCGGTACTGATCTCTAGTTATGCTGCATCCATACTGCTCTACCAGGTGTTTTGACTGCATTGCCATTTATTTGTTGACAGGCACGTGGCCATGGCGGCTATGATTCTGATTTTAGTGATGAGGAGAATGGAGAGAAGTCTGTGCAAAAGACTAAAAGGTAATGTAAAAGGAAGTGAATGCTTTATTTTGTACTAATGAGCTGTTACTGTATAGAAGATAATGCTGTGGTATGTAAAGTCTGGTGTTGAAATGATTTTTGAAAAATCAGTCTCAGATTTGTGCATCTCCTCATGCCATGCTTGCCAGAGTACGTTGTCTCCCTTGGACAAATGATTAAGATCTGTTCTGTTGTGTCCATCTGGTGTCTGTACTCCTTTCAGTTCTTGGAGCACTGTGTTTCATTTTCTGAGCATTAGTATCGACTGCTGGTGTTTGGCTTCTCCTTTCATTTTGCTGCAGATCCATCAGGAAACGTGAAGCTGTTGGGAGAGCAAGGCAAAAAGGCCAATTGGCAGCAGGCATTGTAGATAGAAAGCACCAACTTGGAGGAAGTAAAGAACTGATGGCATTTGTTTTGGGGTTGGGATAGATTTTATTTTCTTCTTAGTTGTTCATACGGTGCTGTATTTTGGATTTGTGATGAAAATAGTGCTGAAAGTTCTGAAAACACACTAATGTTTTAGTTGTTGCAAAGTGGTGCTTACATTGAGTCATGGACTTCTCTGCTTCTCATACAGTCCTGCCAGTGAGGGACGGGGGGTCACGAGGTGCTGGAAGGGGACACAGTCAGAACAGCTGGCCCCAGCTGACAGAAGGGATGTCCAGTACCATATGGCACCATGCTCAGTATCAAAAGCTGGGGAAAAAAGGAGGAAGGGAGGATGTTCTGCAGTCTGATATGTCTTCCTAAGTAACCATTATGAATGATGGAGTATTGCTTTCTTGGAAATGGCTAAAATCTGACTACCAGTAGGAAGCAATGAATGAATTCCTTATCTCAATCTCCTTACATATGTACCTTTTGCCTCACCTGTTAAACAGCCTTTATCTCAATTTCTGTGTTTTCTCACTTTTACCTTTCCTATTCTTTCCTCCATCCCACTTTGGATAGAAGTGAGCAACAGTGTGAGCAGATTTTTATCTCTGTGTTTATTTTACTTTGGCACCATAATCCTTTGACATTTTCCGCACCCTTCTGAACATTCTGTCTGAATTTTACAAATATATTTTTTATCCCCTTTTTTGTCTCATTCTTGCTTTGTTTATTGAACTTTATTTAAGAAGGCTTTCTGGAAACTTTCCTAGGACTCTTGAGTGTTTTCCGTTATAGTAAAATTGAAAGAGTCTTTTTTGTAGTGTTTGACTGCATTTGTGGGGGGAAAATATCGGTGTTTTAGTCATTAGAATCATAGAACAGAAACAGTGACTGGTTGTTTTTTTTTTCAGTTTTGGTTTTCTTTACCGTTCCACTGCCTTAATGGAATATTAACTAACCATCAGGAGCCTTTCAAACATACCATCATTACCCTCATTATGGCACTCTACTGCTGATTCCCAGTAGGGCTCTCGTGTGTTCGCTGCTATGTGTGTGTCTGTTTCTTGCTCTGTGATGACATTATTTTTTCACTTGGAAGAAAACGATAGTCTTAAGTTTTCTTTGAATTGCTGTTTTATGGAGACTCCTTACGGGATTTTTGTACCTATAGGTCCTTTTGAGCAAATGAAATCCTTAGCTCCTAGAGTCTTATATCCCGTAGTTTGAAATAGAAATTCTCTGGCTCACTGTCTACAGGTTTCTGACTTCCTTTCTTTCTGCCATCTGCTAATAATGGAAAAATCTTTTTTCTTCACCTCTTCCAAGGAAAGAAACTAAATATACCTCCTACTAAGCTAAAAGTGCATCTCTTTACGTTTAAACTTTTGATTATTTTCTTGAATTTTGAAAATATTTTTAAGTGCTCACTGATAAGTATGGTTCACAACATGGTACTTAAGTTTTAAATCAGAGATTCTCATGATGTCTTAAGAGAAGCAGAGAAGTTTAATGAAGTGCTGAGATGCATGAAAGGATGGGATAGGGTTACTAATGTTCAGTCTTAATCAACAAGCATATTTTTCTTCCTTTTTCTACTTAGCTCTGCAACCTAGTTTATACAGGGCTTGAAATGTAGAGTGAAATTTAAAAATCTTGTTTTGTTGTAGTTCTATGGTAATAATGTTGATAAAGTACGAATTGTTGATGATTTTCTTTTAACTGTAAGCAAATGCCTTTGCATCTTTGTTCTCCAAATGAAGTAAAGTCTAATCTGATGTTGATTCTGAGGTCTCATTTTATTCATGTAGAAATGAACATAGTAGCTTTTGTAACTCAAGTTGCTCAAGTTTTCTATATGGTATGCTATTTCTTTCGACAGGTTGTGACTGAACTTTCTTTCCTTTTCCCTCTCTATCTTTAGCACGAAAGAAGATAGCCTTCTGGTAAAGCCATTCCAAAAACCAAAACAGGTCAAGGTTGCTCACAGGCAATTTGCTGCTGAAGAATGGGACAGGTATTTTTTATCTATTGCGCTGGTGAGGCTTTTTTCCTTCATGTAAAGGTAACTTTCACTGAAATGTATTTGTTATTATTAACAGAGAAGAAGCAAGGAAGAGAAGATTTCACCTGATATCGATGGATGCAGTATCCTTTCATTTAATTTTTCTTCGAGTTTGAAAATCTGTTTTGTCAAAATAGTTGAATTTCTCAGTTTTTATAGTTGCAAGTGCAGCACCAGATACTAAGTAGTTATTCAAATTAGCTTATTTTTGTTACTGAGATCTCTCTGAGAATGCCTTTACTCAGTAGACTACTCGGAGAACGCAGTATTTCTACAGTTTCAATATGCTAAGTTGCCTTGTTTGAAACTAAGTTGTTATTTTACTTAGATCAACACAAATGCACTTTGCTCTTTCAGTTGAGTTAATACAGAGTATAATTCTGTATGAGGCTGCCGACATCTATGGGCAAATACATTTCCACTGGAAGTCCAAAAATTGCATCAACAAATTCAGAAGTCTGTGCAAAATAGCATAGTTTCAGGCAGATTCTACAGATGCCATAATGTAAGCCTGTTTAATATAATGTCTACTTCTATTTTAGTTTTTTTAATCTCTTAATCATATTTCATGCGACTATTTATGTATTTTAAAGCTACTGCTTCATTTAGATTATAACCTTTCTCTTTTTATTTAGCTTTCACCTGGGGCACATATTAAAATAATTACAATGTGTGTACAAAAGGCATGACACACTGTACTCCTTAAAAGAAGTTGTGTAGCTTTCAGATTCATGTTTTGATCAAGTGTTTGATATTTACCTTACACAAGGCATACTTAGTTTCTGTCAAATTTAATCGAAGCAAGTGATATGAACGGCTTTATCAAATAGTGAAAGTAGTTAATTTAAATGTTGTTGACAGTTTTGCATTACTGTTCCCACATAGGCTTTTAAAAAAATCTCTTAGCTTGAGCATGCAACCATTGTATCTGCCTATCTTTTACAACAGTTACATATGAAATACATTTTACTTATCTTGGGTTGCTGTCGTTATGTTTTGACTGACCATATTTCAAATGCTGTCCATTCCCTGCTTGTTTTAAATAGCTATTCTCCAGTGACAAAAGTCAATAATAGGAAAATAATGTTAGCCCTCCATTTTTATGTGACCAGGGGCTGCATAAACCAAACCGTCTAGTGTCACAGACGTATCCCAATCAGTCCACCTGGCACTGTAGCTAGCCATTAATCACAGAGAAGCCCATGTTTCCTGGAGTTCACTATAAAGCTAATTGTGTAGAAACTCTTAAAAAGTTCTGCTTATGTTTTTGAGTGTTTCCTATCTAAGACCTTTACAGTTTTGTTCTTTTAACTCCTGGTAACTCATATAAGAACACAAAATAGTATGTAGTACTTAATGTGTTTTTTTGCAGAACACCTTTTCTGCTTGTTTAAGGAACAAATTCCTTTTGGTTGTGGTGGAAAGGAAAAAGAAAACATGCATACTGAGGTTAAATTAACATTTTTAAGGCCTTTGGAAAATAAGATGTTTTCTCCATTGAAGTATACATGGGAAAACAGTAGGTTGATACAAATTGGTTTTTTTCGCACGATGTAATATTTGCCTGCCTGTGTACAAGAAGGTAATGCGTTTTGTAACTTTTTCTTTCAGAAACTTTATAGAAGTTAATAGAAGAATAGAATACAGAAGAAAATATTTTTGAATAGCCATCTCTAATGTGAAGATGCTTATTTTCCAAATAAATAGTTATGTATTTTTGCTCATGTCATGGTGCAGAATAGGTACAAAATAGGTTTCAAATCATGTTTCTGAGGCCCAGGTTAAAAAAAAAAAAAAAAGTTTCCTGTGGTTCTCATCTGAAAAACTAAAGCAAATAGCTTTTATTTGTATTTTATGGTATAAAATAAATTCTACCCTACTCGTGTTTATAATACAAAGTACAAGCTTGTATTAAAATTGAAACCGCAGTACTAAGAAGTTATGTGCAAATCACAGCTGAAGATTGAGACCAGCTTCTATGCACATGCTTATAGAGCATCTTTGAAGAACAGTTCTATAAAGTTCTGGGAGCTGATTGAGGTTTTACAGAGGAAATTGCCTTAAAGCCTGTATTTGGAAAGTAGCTCCTGTAAGAGGTTATTGGGTGAAAATTGCTAATTAATTCTCTTGTTTCTGGAAATTACCGAACAGTTTTTGGGGAACAAAAAAATGCGTTCTGTTCAGAATATTGAAAGTTTTAATTGTTCATTTAGTTGCAAACTGATAGTGAAGTAAAAGAATGTAAGTATTGAAACAGATTCCTTAATTGCTTTATTCAGTATTCGAGACATAGAAAGTTAGTGAATGACTACATTTTGTACTATGGTGGGAAAATGGAGGATTTCCGACGTTCTAGGTAAGCAGTATTTCCCCTCAGGTCCTCAGGGTCCCTCTGATATGCAAAGCAGTTAAATTATAACTTTGAGGGAGATAAGAAATGTGTGTCTCAAATTACTGATTTGTTTGGTCCCAAGTAGTAACTACATTCCTTGTAAACATCCAGAGCGCAGAACTGCTTTGTTTCACTTTGCATCATTATTTTTATGTAAGAACTTAACCATAAGCTGAATTATTCTTGTTTTGTTATGTAAACGGAAAGATGACAGGTGAACATTAGTTGAAGGTACACTGAGAAATATCTGGCAGTATTTTCAAGTTATCAGTGTGGAGTATTTTTGAAATGTGCTAAATTGCTGTCAGTTGTCCACTACAGTGATGTCTTTCTGTAGAGCTGCCTGTAACTGCCTTCTGACATAACTGTCTAAAAGAAAAGTATCATCAGACAGGACCATGCCATCTGCAGTTTCCGTGGCCATTTGCCACCGGGAAGTTTCCATTTGGGAAAAACGAACCATTGTTTAATAGTTTTATTCCACAGCAATGCATTCACGTATGCTGTGAGATGGAGATAAAAAATACGAGATACTGGTATTTACCAAATTAGTATGTGGCTAACTTTTCATTGGTATGTTGTACTGAAATAATGTTCTTTTACAGCGAGAATGACAAGACGGATCTCGATGTTATAAGAGAAAACCATAGATTCCTGTGGAGAGAAGATGATGAAGCAGACATGAATTGGTACCTGGAGCTATTACATAAAACAGTAATTTTAGATCACTTTGTACCAAGTTTGTAGTGTCTTCTGTTAATTAGGGATTGCTGTGCATACTTAGTGATCGTCCTTTGATCTTTAATGCACTTAAAAATGGAAGAACTTTAGGAGACATAGTAGTATCAATCAGTGACGAAATTAGTTGATGACAGAAAGAACTGAAAATTATTTGTGCATTCTCTGAGGGCCAAATGACTGTTCTGAGTATCCTGAAGGAAGCCTCTTCTGGGCTGTGGATGTATTTTGGATGCATTTTTCCACTGTTGTGAAATTTCTTCTTTTGTCAAAGAGTATATTTCTTTTGCATTTCTAGCTCTGCAACTTGTGTTCTTCAGATGAAACCATATGTATTTATCTTGCTTAAAGTCATTAAAATGTAAAATGAATTGTATTCTATATTTAATTTAAAAAAAAACCCAAACTTTTTACAGGGAGAAGAGGCTTGCAAAGAAGTATTATGATAAATTATTCAAAGAATACTGTATAGCAGATCTCAGTAGATACAAAGAGAACAAGGTACATTTGATTATTGTAAATCATAGTTTTTAAGCCTGCTTTTTTTTTTTCCTACAACGCTGTATGTTGTGAAACCAGAATTTTAGTACCCTTTCCCTAGAAAGAGAGTTGTGAGAAACTGTGAAGTTACTTAATAAGCAGCAGCAGTTTTGAATCTGAGCATTGTCACTGCCCCAGAAATGTGCTTTTGTGGGAATAGAAGCATTTCTGTATAACATTTTTTTGTGGAGAGATACATTGTGTGTAAGCAAGGCAGAAAATGAGGGGTTAGGGAGAGAAAGCAAGAGAGGTTTGGCTAGAGAGAAGAGTTCAAGAAAGCCTAAAAAAAACCCCATAGTGTTACTGTTTTTCTTGCTGTTGTTGTGGTTTGGTTTTTTTTTTAAGTCTAAAAAGAGTTCTGTACTTGAATGCTGTCTTAAACAGTTTTGCATATGTCTGTTCTAAGGCAGTGTCTCTTGCTGCTTGTCTTTTTCTGTTTATGGAAACAGGATTTGTATTTTCTTTGTAAGTAAATAGAATTTCTGAAGAGAAACAGATGATTTCCAAGACCCTTTTTTCTTCTTAACCAAAGCAGCCATTATTGTTTCTAATTTTTTAATTAATGTCTTAGTCAAAAGGAGTCTATGCATTTTGTATTGTGAATTTACGAACTATTTCTAAACTCAAGTGCATATTGGTGTTGTTAACACATAGTAACAGCCAAGCCCTGCAAATGGTGTCTAGGTAAAGCTCTTTGAGACTATTTATAGCATAGAAAATTACATTTGCTCGTAAATATTTGCAAGGGCTGAGTTTAAACTATAATATTAGGCCAAAAAAATCACAGCCCTCTGAAAAAAAGTTGAACGGAAGAAATGCAAATATTAAATGAAGATTAATAAAAATGAGAAAGTAATAATGCTTCAGATACCTTCCTTCCTTTTTTTTTTAACAAGTAAACTTCATTTTATTTTCCTGTACTTGTCTCATATCCCTCAGTGTTTACACTACTCCTAACCTGAGATTCCCTTGAGCTTGCTTACAGATTTTGTTTCTTTCCTTGCTTTGCCAAGTTTCCATATGTTCACTGTCTTCTGTGGGAAACTGTTTTGCCCTAGTTTCCTATTTTGTGTAATAGTATTCCTTTGTCAGACTTCAGATGGGATTGTCCTAACTGTGAGGTCGCTCTGAATATCTGTGTATGCTAATAAGTCATTATTCAACAGTCTTGGAATTTTTATTTCAGCATAACTCTGATATATCATGTAATTCATTCTGTTACTTTCTTTTATGCTTTCTGTCATCAAATATGTTGTGATCACACTGGAATCTTTTCTCCAGATCATTCTCTTTTGTTGATTTATCCATGCCCCTGTTTGGTACAGAGGAATGCCAAAGCAGGCTTATTTCTTGGAAGTCAGAAATAGGCTGCTGATCAGTTCCCATTCACACCAGTGGAATGCAGGCTGTGCTTTCAGATTTTTTTCTGCCTTGATTCTTTTTTTGTCTTTTCTAGAAATTGAAGTCAGCTATCTTTAGCTGCTCATACTTTCAGTTTTGCAGTGTTGGTGGTGAGAGGTGCAGGCTGTGTAGCAAGCTTCTCAGCTGGTCAACTTCTCATCTCATAGTTGATGATGCTTTATATCCTGTTAGATAACAGTAAAGTTGAAGATAAGGGTTTGTTGTTTTGTTTTTTTTTTTAACGTGTGTGTTTTTTATCCATCTATAAAAAGCTCTTATCGAAAGACAGAGATTGAAACTGGCCCACCTATTCCATCTGTCTTTTCACAATAATTATTTGCTACTACCCAAAATCTTATAGCTGCCTGATTCTTCTCCGACTTACATGTTAAGATTGTAGTTAAGATCTCATTTAGAACTTTCCATCTGAGAAAACCAACTCAATTTTCCTAAATAGTGGATAATAAGAGCCAGTTCCATGCATAGCACACTGCTGAGGTCTGAGAAATCAGCACTTGCGTGTTTTCAAAATCAGAAGCTCAAAAGCAGACAATGAAAAAGCCCTCATCTCCTGTGTAGGACTTCATAAAACTGAAACCCTTTGTTAAAGGAAGCTATATCATGCTGGGTTCAATAGCCTGAGATGGGGAGACCTCTGCAGCACATGCACCCAGGTTCCAGCAGTAATGAGGCTGAAAACATATTCGTGTTTGGTGCACACACAGAGCACAGACGTATATGTGTAATAATAATGTATTATTATATGTGTATAATATGCATACAGAATCAGCCACACAGGTCAAGACACAGAAGAGCATTCATGTGAGCAGTGTCATTCTGCTGCTTATCCTTATGTTATCCTACACTCCCCAGATCTTATAAATTCATCCCTGCCTTTGGTTCTTCCCCTAAATATCCCATAATAAATCCTCTGTCGTGTCTCATTTTTTTTTATGTGTGTGTCATCTTCATCTTCGCTTTTAATGAGCAATGCCAAGATGGTCTTCTGGTATGAGGCTACCTGTAGGTGCTGGAAGAGTATGCTCTGACAACTCTTGTGTTGGTGTGCTTGTTACTTCTTGTATTTTCCCTGGATGCAAGTTACTTAAGGTCAAGATTTGTTTGTACCTTTGAGCTTCTTGTCTGCAAGCTTTGATGCTGATAAATGACCATCTGTATTGTCAGATATTTTAGCTCTGTTGACAGTTTTGCTATGCAGTAAGGGAGAGTGCTCAGCATGTAAGTTTGACTTCGTTAGGCATTAGGCTAGAAATGTTCTTTCTCTTAGCCTTATTTTCCCAAAAGGAATCTTATTCGCTGTGTTTGTGCTTTGTTTTATAGATCGACAGATTGAAATGTCTGCCATTTGATAAGAAATGAGATCAACCTGACACCCAGTCGTTAGACAGAATAGTTTATTCTTTTATGTTGCTTTTTTTTTCCTGATCATTTTCAGATTTCTAGGCCAACTTGTCTTCCATTTGGTAATACACTCACTTTTGTCCCTGTCAGCAAGGAAAGCTTTATGGGAAAAGAAAAATACTTAAAATGTCTATGATGTTTTTCCACCATTTTGTTTAAATTTATACCTTTCTTCTTTTCTAAAAGAGGTGACTCTGGACATGTTAGTTTTTAAAACTGACAATAAATAAACAATAAATACTATGCAAGCAGTCCATAATTAACTTGAGAAATTTACTGTTCATGGATATTAAAAGATCTTTCACATCTTTAGAAACTATCTACTTTTTAAGTTAGTCATTTGATAGGCCTGTAAAATCCAAAATCCATTTTGGAGTTAGTTTACTTAGTCTTCTTCTTTTTAGAGAAATAGCTCATTTTAAATTTTGTTGAATGCATTTATCAAAGAATAGGCAACATGACTGCTGATGATGGTTCTGTTTTCCTTTGTTTTACAGGCTGACTATTCAAGAACTTATCTTTAATTTTCCTATATTAATTTAATCTGTTTCTGGTATTTTAGCCTGGAGGGTTATGCTTGTTGCATAGTTCTGATTTCATTGATTTTTTTAATTTTTTTTTTTTTTTTTTTTTTTTTTCAGTTTTTTTCCCTCTATCTTTTTCCATTAATTGATGAAAGAATGATAGGCAAACACTAAATAGCAGATGAGGACATGTTTCATCCTGGCTGTGTATATATGCTGGGTTTCTGGTAGCACAGGTGGTTCTGGCTCCCTCCTTTCTTATATTGCAACCTCTCCTTTTTTTTTTCTTTCTTTTTTTTTTCTTTCTTTTTTTTTTTCTTTTTTTTTCTTTTTCTTTCTTTTTTTTTTTTTTTCTTTTTTTTTTCTTGATACTATTGCAGAGATACTCTGTAAGGATATCAGCAGATGTATGTCATAACGGCTCATGTTGGGACTGTGAGGAAAGTCTGCTTCAGTATCTAAAGTGTGCATAGATAACTAACTGCGTAAATGGGGAAGTGGCAGAGGAACAATGAGAAAACATTTTACTTTTTATATACTGCAGCACACACATGCAAAATTGGTGCCCAAGTATTGCTGATGCTTAAATGTGCAATATTTTTAAATGCAGCACAAGCTTTTCAGAATTGCAGTACCCTTAATCACTATAGACCAAGTGTTAAATCTGTTTTTTGTCATATATTCTATATTTACAATTGTACTTTGCATTGTTTTTTCATCAAATTGTTCAGCACAGTTCTTTTTCCTTAAAATTGATTAATTTTTGTTTGACTGAAGTGCGAGTGGTTTAACTGGTACTTTAGAACACACTGCAGATTGTAGAGCAGTACAAGCACAGCCTGATCCAGCCGTAGCAAATGGACATTATCACAATATGACAGCAGTACCTGATCGTCTCCTCTGTTTCATTTGTTTTGTTATGTGAAACTAGGAACTATGAAAGTTTATACTCCTAAAACCAATTCTGAAATTAGTGGACAGATTTCAAGAGGCAAATAATGATTGGTGCTTATATTTTTAGCTTTCTTAAACATAGCTGTGTAATACCGTACTTTATTTTGCCTTTCTGCTCAGTTCTTCAATTTTAGTTATCACTTATCAGCCATATTCTTAAGAGCCAGAACAATTCTTACTCCATTTTTCCAGTGTTCTTTGAAACGTATACTACTTCTCACATGAGAACTCTGTACTGCTGCCCTACAGATGAAGAATTATTATGGTTTATTTAAAAACAAAACAAACAAACAAAAAAACCTACATAGATCAATAGATGTCTGGACTTAATTAGATATTAAAAAAAAAACGCATAAAATTAAGCAATTATATTACAAAATGCATGCCATAGCATCTAGGAGAATGCACATTTGTGTGGGTTCAGTCTTTGAGTGCCTCAAGAGCAGCATCATATTCCAAACAGCAACTTGGAACACAGGTTCAAAGGTCTTTATGGCCATGTGTATACCTCTCTAATTTTAGAAATCTTCTCCCCACAGTTTGCCTCCTTCCAAGTTTTAACATGAAGTTCAGAATCTTCCATGCCTTGCTTACAGATCAGGAGAGCAGGAATTTTTTTTCTGACTTTATATACTCCAAGTATATGACTTTTAAATGAAATACCAGATAACACTTTTTGGATGAGCTGCATGGCACTGAGTTTTGTCCTTTCTTTGTACTTGTTAGTGAAAAGAGACTTGTTTTTTTGAGGCTGTTCTCGCTCCCTTTTGTCTTTGATCTTCTCACTGGATTATGTGGCACTTAGAGAGAGAATGAAGCAGATTCTACTGGAAAGCAAAAATAGTAGCTGGGTTTTCTTCAGGTGATGTTTTTTGCAATGTAAAAGGATATGTAAGTTAATTTTTGCTTTTGTTGTCGTCTTAGGATGTGAAGTGTGACCCATGGATTTGTAGTCGTGTGTCTTTCAGTATTCTAGTGATGGTCTTATTTTTTAGTGTGCACAGAATTGCAATGAAGTATCTGGTAAAGCCATCCAGTCTGTCCCAATTTCCTATTTGTTCTGTGTGCTACGAAGTCTTTTAGAAAGTTGCTCAGAATTAAACAGCATCTACTGGAATGTCAGTTATATGAGTAAGTTTGGATCCTTCTGCAAGCAGAAGCAGAGATACTTTTAATTAACAGATAAAATTTCATTTAATGAATGAAGCACATGCAGAATATCAGTTACTGAAATTAGTCTTTATATTACTGAAATTGTTGACTATTCACAGCTAATTTTCATTCTTACCTTAACAGTTTGGATTTAGATGGAGACATGAGAAGGAAGTAATTTCAGGAAAAGGTAATCCTCCCTTTCATTTTATATTACATTTCACTGTGGCTATTGCTTTTATTGCTTTTTTTTCAGCATAATTTGTTTGACTGTATTTGACAATTTATACTAATAAGTGTATCAAATGGTAATAAATCAATGTAGCTTTTAACTTCTCTGTTCTATTCTCCATAGCTCTAGTGAGCATACTGATCTACATAAAGAAAAATTCTATGTCAAGAAAAATGATAACTTTCAGAGTAAACTGGTTCTGAAAGCTTCAGTGAGAATTGTTATCATGACTTCCAGTCCCATCTCTAAATCAGTGACTTATTCTTGCTGATTCTCTAAGGGAGCTCATTTCAGTGGTCCCCATTTCAGTGCTGTGGGGCACAAACTTTCAAGTAACTGAACAAGCAAGTAAATTATTATACGAATATAGTGCTGTTCCTGTGGTAGGATGCTCGTACACGTGTGCAGTTTTCGGCAGTCATGTATGCACGTGTGAGAAAAATGAATGCTGTGACCCTGTGGATTGGAAAAGATCAGTGAACTCATGAACTGGTCATGGGAAGCTGCCGCTTGCTGTGGGTCGCAGCACTGAGCGGCGTTGCCTCCCGCCACGGGGGGGCACAAGAGCCTCGCGCTGCCTGGCGTGCCAGTGGAAGCGGTCACTTCGGAAGGACGTGGCTAATGCCTTCCTGTGCTCTTCCCTCCAATAAACGAGTAATAGAAATTGCATTAATTGAAGTGTAGCAAAACTTTAATACCTTGCCTTAATCTGATCGGCTGCGAATGGGTGGTGATTCACATTTTAAAAAAGGAATGTGTGTGCTAAATTTAGCTGGGACAGTAATAATGGTGCTAAGAACCTCTGGGTTTGAAGGCAGTGTATGGTTGTGTATGTTTGATTGCTTTGCTTTCCACAGTATGTAAGCTGTGTAAGCATGACATGTAAGGTCATGTATAAATGATTGCAGATGGTATAGGTTCCTGATAACCACACCTTCCATAGTGTCAAACATATTTAATGTTTATGAATTCAAAACTTACAGTGTGAGGGTTGTTTTATTTGGTTCAAGTGTTACAGTGCAAGTGGTTTTGTGTTGCAGAACTGAAGTATCTGAGGACACTGGCAATCCATTAGTTAGAAGCTTAAGGAGAATGTTCCCAGGTTAATCGTTTCACACGGTCCTGCTTGTGAGCCTATTAATGTAGATCCTTATTGCGAGCTCTGCAGACAAATTAGTCTTCTGCAAAGTGAATATATGAATCTCTATTAATGCAGTGTGGGGAATTCGGTGATATAAACAACATTGACTGTGTGTATATTGTTTTAAAACTAGTGTTGTGTTTAATATAATAAACCCAAGAAAGTATTTCAAGCTGTTGCATGCTTTTTCACAGACTTGGCTTTCTTTTTTTAAGTATTGTATTTCCTCTTCCTAAAAGTAAAATGTTTATGAAAAGTCAGTAGAATACAAGTTGCTAGGTTAACTTGTAGGTTAATAAAAGTATAGGCATCTTCTTTGTGCATCAAATGGTTTGATGTCACTAGAAATCTGTGTCTAAATTGCAACTTCTTTGCAAGTATGCAATATTGGATGAGCATGATTGTTTTGTCACTTTGTATCAGTTATTGTTTCCTCAGATTTAATTTTAGCTCTGGACTTTTTCCTTTGAAAAAAAGTAAGAAGCAAAAGCTGAGCAAAACCAGAAACCCTAAACTTATTCACATTAATCACTGAACCATGTTTGGTTTTTTTTATTATCTTTATAAAAGGTCAATTTTCTTGTGGAAATAAACACTGTGATGGCGAAGAAGGCCTGAAAAGCTGGGAGGTGAATTTTGGTTACGTTGAACATGGTGAAAAGAGGAATGCACTTGTGAAACTGAGTAAGTCTGAAAAAGTTTACATATCCTTAAAAGAAGACAAATATCTTGAAAAGCTGTGGAATTAGACCCAGTTTTGATGAGAACAGTTCATGCAAAGTGGAAAATAAGCTTCAGAGTAGCGATCATTTAGTGAGAAGTAGTATATTATAGTGGTCTTGACTTAGCAAGATTGGCTACTATTGTTGTTTATGACAGAGTAGTTGAGCACCTCATCATGTATCATTCTTGATGTGGTAAAATTAGAATAACATGATAAACTATGTTGTATACAAGCATGTCCGATTTTAATGGACAATAATGAATTGCAAGGAAAGTTTAATCATATTCATTGTTTAATCAATTATGTGGCTTAGAAGTTTTTGGGGCTTAGGAATAGTAAAGTTTATGCACATCTTCAGTTCAACTGATTTTATTTTTCATTGCTATGTTTTCTTCCAAAAGTTTAGCTTTTGGAAGAAATTTTGATAAATTACTTATCTTTTTATTAATGCTTCTTGAGTGGGATTTTCTTATTCAGTAATTTTGCAATGTTCATCAGGTAATTAAACCTACAACAATTTACTCGGTTTTTCTGTGAAAAAGAGGCTTAGGATGATTTTTCTTTTGTGCACAAAACACTCCAAGGTGGCAGCACTTGGTTGCTGGCGAAGCTCTCAGAGATTTGTGGATCTTCAGTGTAAGTGTAGAACAATTTGATCTGTTCACAAAGATCCATGGAATTTGATGTCTGTACATGAGAAGCACTGATATTTTTTTAGAAGAATTGTCAGTGCTAAACCTGTAATCTTTCTCCAGGTTCAGTAAAATCTAGGGTTGTACTGTAAATATTTATTGTGCATTTTTCTTAACCATGCCTACAATTACATTGGAATTCAGTTTTGTAGGAAAATCTACTCAGATTGGAAAATAGTGTTGTATCTAGTTTTATGTGTTTACTGTCAAGTTTTGTTAGTTGTGCTCATCAGACACATGACTGTGGTGTTCTCATTCTCTCTTTTTCAGGACTATGTCCAGAGTGTTCTTATAAACTAAACTTTCATCACAGGTAATGAAGTATTTTGGAAATATGGGGGTTTAATTATTAATAGGCTCTGTTTTGGAGTACGTATGAAGGCATTATCCTGCCACCATTGAGAGTTAGGTATTTTTGTGCTAATAAAATTATGAAACTCACCAAACAAGAGGAATCCTCCAAATAAGTTTCCTTGGGTTTCTTTCATCCCAATGGTTATTTTTCTTTTCTGAAAGTTTTTGCAAAGCATTATCATTTTTCATTTTCTCTCTTACTCTGTTTAAGAGCTGGAAAGCTTTTCCTTTCCTAAACAATAGGATGGCGTGTCTAGATGTGTATGTCTCTGAAAGTTAATCTATTTTGAATAGTAATTTGTACTCAATTTCATAGTAGTGCTGTGCAGGTATGTATTAAGTAACGGAGATTTGTTTATATTGCTTCTCTTTGGAACTAAAATAACAAAACCTCTTGAATTCAGAACAAACATAATTAAGCATATTTTCTCTTTGTCAGCTTCAAAGCTTAACATAGAAATAATTTTCCTGACTTTTATGTAAGCAAACAGGAAAAAGTGTCTTAGGTTCGTACAGTAAGCCTACGTTTGTAAGTTGAAAATAAAAATACGTGTGTTCTCGGTTTGTAGCATGTTCTTAGCCTTGAGATTCTCCTTCCTCAGCTTTTATTGCTACTAAATATTAAGAAAAAAATAAAAAATCCATATTGCTTCTGTTTTGCTCATTTAATATATACAAGATCACTTGTTACATAAAAAACAATCAATATAAATTTAGTGCCTTATATCATTATTTGCTTTATTTAATGCTTGACTGCCAATTCACTGTTTTCCTTGTCTACATCAGAGTTGCTTTAACAGCTTTAGTATTTCCTGTCCTTTATGTTCAGCTGTGGAGCTCTAATACTGCTATAGCAGTTTTCATTTTTAGCTTAAAAATTTAAATAGTGACAAGTTTAAGAATTTAAGATTCAGAAATGTAGCTTTTTTTTTTTTTTTTTTGGAAGGAGGAAAGAAGTCAAAGCAAGCAAGAAAAGAGGCACAGCTGTACGGAACTCTAAACAACCAAAAATTAAGAAGCCAAAATTGTCTCAGTCAAGAAAAAAGAAGTCAAAAAAAAAGACACATGGAGGTAAACATAAATTTTAAACCTTGAATTTTGAAAATATTCCAAAAAAGTTAGTTGAATATTAATTTTACCATATGTAGATAACATATGTAAATATGTAGCTGTTTCCACACTGTATAATGTAGGTGGTCAAAAAGGTAATTTTTTTTTAACCTAAGAAAAGATAAATTTCTTACATTTTATAGCCATGTGAAAAACATTTATTGCAACAAAAAATTGTCCAAGTCTTGGGCATTTCATTAGATTGTACATTGTCCAAGGATTGGAAGTTGTATACTCTGAACAGTTCTGAAGTATTGGAATTCCTTAAGACTTTGGAGTTGAAAACCTTTTGGAAATGTAAGATAACCTTTTTGCACTACAGATCTTTGGATAACTTATTTGAGCTCAAGCAGGTGACCTTTCAACTCATGAAAAAAAAATGTTTTTGCTTCAGTGTTTACTTTCTTTTTTTGAATGTATGGTGTGTGTATGCATGTGCAACATGTTTATGTGTAATTTATTGTGATAGATGTATCCTTTGTAAACACTGTAAGATAAACACTGTAAGATAAAAGATAAAACCAAGATAAGCTCACTGTTTTTTAAATGCTGTTTATTTCTAGATGAGGTTTCTTCAGAAGATTCAGATACTTCTGATAAAGGTAAAGTGTTTGAATATCTTCTGAATCTTGTTATATTTGATAAGGTGGTAAGAAAACTATGTTGAAAACAAGTAGAAATAGATGGGTCAGCATAATTACTTTGAGTCTTGGAGGAAAACTAATGGATTTTGAGAAGAAAATGTTTTGAATTTAAGCAAGGAAGAAAATTATGGGTGGATAATAAAATTAAAATACTCATAAAAATAAGGGTCTCGGTTGTTCCAGGAAAGAGTAGACGGTACAACTACATGGTACACAAATATGTGCTGTATAAAGAACTTTTCTAATTAGTAACTACTACTATTACTTTTACTGAACAACACAAATAAGTGTCCAACTCAAAATGTTAATAGGAGAGCACTTGGAGAAGAAACTATGCCAAATAAATTCTAGGCTTTAGACTGAGTCTTTTGCAGCTACCACTATTACTGTCTCAGAGACCCATTGCAAATAGATGTGCTGAGTCTCAGTGACTCTGTAGGCAGTGGTTATCTTGCCTATATCTCAGTAATTCCAGTCCCTAGTTCTTTTTAAGATGAAATAAGCCTCATCTTTTGGACATCTTAATTCTTGTTGCAGACTCTTTGGAAAGATCTGAGTGTTTCTGTTGATGCTCTGTTGTGTCATATACTTTTGAGAATGGCCTGTACAGATGCAGGAAGACCCAAAACAGTTTTCTGCTGACTCAAATCATGCCCAAATTCTGTATAGAAAGCTTTTAGTTTTTTTTTAAGTCAAGAGGTTTCTAATAATGAGATTTTAATTTTCTTTTCTACCCTTCTCTATAGTTATATGGAACAGTTAGGCACTAATTGATAGTTTGTTGCAATTTCACTGATAAGCTAAGGTTGATGAAAGTTGTTCTTCAAGTAGAAAGTAAAGTCATTGATTCATTGAACATCACGAGTTTCTATATTGTAATACAAATATATTGTAATTCTGGGTTTGTGATTATGAAGCTTCAATTTTATGAACAAAGTGCAGTGCAGCCTCTGTGTCAAGATCAGCATTCTGACATGATTGTTGCTATGTTTGGCCAAAGTATCAGTTTAATGGTGTCTAAAAGTCGTCTTGATGTTGTATTGAGTAAGATTGGCAAATGTTTTAGTTTTTGCATCATGCTATATTAATCATGTTATTTATCATCAGGATTACAATGAAATGTTTCTCGTAGCCAACAACTATTAAAAAAAAAATTGCTGAATTCTTTCAAAGTATATTAGTTAAGCACTCTGAATTTTTTTAACAGATTCAGATAACAGTGATGCACAAGATGGTCCTTCAGATGCTGATTTTTGGAAAGGTCCTCTGCAAGAAACAGATGAAAAATCACGGTTAGTTTGAACAACCACTAAGCTTTTGTCTTTTAGACATATTGTGACCATTCAGAACTGCAAAGGCAGAGGCTTTTCCTGAGTATTTTAATGATAGTCTAACATCTGAAGTTGCTTTAAATCTCCTGTATATGAACCTAAGAATATTGTTATGTTTTTTGGTGGTTTTTTTTTTTTTAACTGGACATATATACAATACCAGAGGAGAAACCTTTATCAAGCAGCTATCTTACCATCTCTGTCTTATTCTGTGCTTGCATCCTATTAACCAGTAAATCTTAACAGTCAACTCATTCTGTTGCACAAAAAAAGAAATGTGATGGGCATGCGAATGTAGTGAATAAGTAAAACTTATGTATACCAGGTACATACTCTAACCAGAATTCTGCTAAATTTTGTTATCTCCTTGACATATTTCTATTTTTTTTGTTTACAGAGAGGAAGAGTTTGATGAATATTTTCAGGACTTGTTTCTCTGAAACTTGACATTGATGGGGTTTGATTTTTGTTGTTGTTATTGCTGTGAATTGTCAAGATAAGTATTTGGAAATTCAGTTGTAAGTAGGGACCAGAGACCTCTTCCCAACGGCATGCCTTTTCTACAGTCACTCCATTTGGACCATCTGAGTGAATTGTCTCTGCAGAAGGCTTCAGGGCTGAAAGTTTTCTTTTTTTTTCTTTGTTTTTGGGGGGTAGGCCTGTATACTCATGCAATACAAGAAATGTACTCAGGAAGTACAAGCTAAAGGTATGTGACAAGGTAACATAAAAGTAGGAAGAATATAGAAAAATAAGAACATACTTTATTCTCAGTACACCACAGGAGATGGCTGTTCTTTATTCTATCCCAAATTTCAGCTACTGCCAGATTATTTCAGAAGATTATATTATTAGTTTAAAAACATATACTTCAAAATACTTGTACTTATAATTTATTGAACTATAGTTAATAGCTTTAAATGTATTAGTTGTGTAGACTTTAATATTAAGATATGAATCTGTGTGGTTGCAGATACTGTTAGAGAAGTTCACTTTAGTCAAGCATGTATTTGCTTGGAATTTAAGTAAACCATATCTGAAATGTCTCTGGTCTTCCTTAAAAAGCTACATTCATTATGACCTTGGTTTAAATTTTAGTTATGATATGTTGTGACTGATAATTCCACTCATTAATAAAAATCTGAATTGTTCTCAATGTTGTTGACATCTTTGATTTAATAAATAAATAATATGGCTTTCCACTGGACATGTACACGTGGCTTGTATGTTATCTGTGGTTTCTGATCTCCTTAGCATTGATTGAATGCTAATCCTTCTTTAACGTGTAATCCTGAACATACAAGTAAAGAATGTATAGTGTGTGAGAAACTTACTGGATTCATCTTCATTTTCAAATGCAGCACAACACAAAACATTCTTTACTGTATGTTTCTAAAGAAATATTCTGCTTATGTATAGGTATGGCAGACATTTTCAGATTAAAATTACTTTGGATATAAAGGACAAACTTTTTTGAATTAAGTGTTCATGTAAAACAAGCTGAGGAAAGTTAACGTAGAAAATACATCTTTATAAGTGCTTTCTACTGTAGATACATTTATAGAATGTATTTATAATTATTTTTTTGGTAATGTAACAACAGGGACAGTTGCAGTGTAATTACGAATATTTTACATGTACTCAATGAGTAGAGAGCTTTATTTACAAGTATTTATTAACATAATTAATTTTAAGCAGTTTGTGCTTACATAATAGATGACAGTACAAGGACATATTTAGGATGTCCTTGAGCAACAAATAAATGTAGCCTTGCATGAAGGCTTCTTTAGGTAAGAAGGTGGATTTAAAGGTTAATTCTCTGTCATCTTGCAAGCTTGGTTGAGAGCCAAATCCAATCTGCAGCAATCTGCTTACATGTATGCAACTTGCCTTAACGAGTTTTGTTGAAAGTTGCTGTAAGTATTGTATATTAGGTGTGTGTTCTGGGTTAACTAGCTCTGCTTTGAGTCTTCAGAATATGTTTATAAAGTGGTACAGAATACATATTAAATACATCATTTAATACAGTATGAATAAAGTTACATGATCAAACAACTTTGGAATAGCTTTCTTTTGTATCTACATGAAATACAGGAAATAATACACGATATCCAGTTTTATGTCATAACCAAGTTTGCATAAAATACTTGGCCCATTTGTAAAGAAGGACGTAATCAGTGGGAAACTGTGTGGATTCCTTTTAATTTTGAGTGATATGCATGTATCTATCTTCATTGCATTCTTAGAAAGGTATATAATATAATTAATTTTTCAGTCCTCCCTTCTCTTGATACTGAGGGCTCTTCAGAGGAAAAAAATGAAAGTGTATGATTCTGCTTTGTTTAAAGTGGGGAGAAAAGTGTTAGGATTGGGTCTCCCTGTAAAACTTGTTTGTTACAGGAGTCATTTCTGACCTCCAGATTCTCTTTGGTTTGGAATTGGTTCCACTGAATGTTCAGATACATGTGTGATATAGTAGCTATTTTCCTTCCTTATCTGGAGTAGGAAGTGACCTCATGGGACCTGAATAGAAGGAATGGAGCGATCTCTGTCACACTTTAACAGCTGATGGTTTTTGTAGGGAGACTGTTGTTTACAAAAGGCTAATTTGTGTGCAGTCTGTCTTAGTTGTGGAAATGTGAATTTTGATGTGCTCTACTTGTGCTATTCTCTGCCTCCCCAGACTGCATTTGTGCCATTCATTGGTTTTCAGATACTAGAAAATTCTGTCCATTTTACTGCAGGTGAGGGTGCATTGGGTGTAATGCATTTAAATGGGGAACCTGCTGTAGATGTAGCTACATAGATGCACAATGTTTGTAGTGTATCTTTTTAGATTTGTAAAATAAAAAGTACTCAGTTTGAGAACTGTGGGCAGAGACATCGTGGGTAAAGGAGTGGCTTCTCCAAGTGATGACTGTAATTTGCAGATTTATCCATGGTGGTTTTGAAAAAAGTCTGTGCATCATGGACCTGCTTTTTATACATACATGATAAGGAATTGTGTTTAGCTCTCCTAAAGTAAAGGAAACTTTTGCCCCAAAGCTGTACTTAGTATGAAGTATGATGGAAGAGGACAGAATTCCAGATTGAGTAAGTACACGTAATATAAAAATCTAAATATACAAGGTATTAAAACTGATTTTTTTTTGATTGAATTGTGCATGTTAGATTTCATTCAGTAATTTCATGTAAGATCGATCAATTTTTATTTTTTTTCTGGACAGTGCAGAAGTTACTTATTTTAATAAAAATACTGTATATAAATTGAGTGACGTGAAAAAGTTCTAGAGTGGACATTTATATATTTTGCACTATTGGTTATTTTTTCTTCTGTCTTTTGCTTTTTCAGTTTTTAATTATAACTGTTTTTTTTTATTCCAGTAAAAATTATTTCCAACAAATGGCAAGTGTTTAAGAGGATTGTTAAGAGATTGATCTAGACTATTCTATGCGAAGCAAAAATCCACTGGGCTCCTTGAAGTTCTTTCTAGATGTCTTTTCAGTAGCAGAAACAGTGTCTTTGAGACAAAGAATTACAAAATTATACATGTTTTGGATTTTCCATCCTCTCCACTTCCACCTCCAGCTGCATTTTCAGCTAAAAAACAGAAAAGAAAAGTAAAGTGAGTATTTTCTGTTGCTTTCAGTTGCTTTAACTTCTTGTTTTAAAAGCACTGCTTTTGTGATAAGGACATTATGTATGTTTGACTTTCTGAAAGTGGAACATGTTTTCACTACTTGTTTGGGAAATTGGAGCATGCAACAACTATACATGTTATATATACCTATACATATATGATGTAGCAATTGATACCAACATTTCTCAATGGACCAAACACACTGAACCACTCTTACTGGAAAGTTTCAGTACTTTATGTAAGTCTGTCCCACACATTCAAAACTGAGGTATGCAAGCCATGCTAAAGAAAAAAAAAAGTCTTGAATTATTATAATCTTGGAAACTATTTCTGAAGATGATACAAAAGCTTTAATTTGACCTAGTTGTATAAACTCTTATCCAACCCTACATGAATCCCTTGGTAACAATCAATTAAGCCAGAGAGACTTTTTTAATACTTTATAGCAACTGATTTTGTTAATGTCTCTCTCAAATGATTCCACAGATGTTTATTGGTCATAGTTAAGGTTGTTTCAATGTAATAAGTTGCGTTTCCAGATTCATTTAAGGTAAGATACCAATATTAGAATTAAAACTTACATTTGAAAGCTGTGGATCACCATGTTACTTAGGTCATTTTCGACCCTTTCCACCTGCATTGAAACATGTCACATAATCAGTGTCCTACCCTCTGTAATTTGTGGATATAATCAACACTACGTTACTAAATATGTATTTCAATTTCATAGTTCAATACTGTATTCTGCTTTCTGTTCTGAACTTTCCACTGTAGTGGTTCAGCAAATATGTTTATTTTGTTTTCTGCCTACTGAATGGCTCAGAATAGCCAGGTCAGTGTGATCTAGAGATAACCGTGGTTCAGCATGCATCATATTACTGTTTGTATGAACTGACTTTAACAAAGGTATATATTTACATGGCCTTGATTTTGACAGTGTCAGATCTGTTCTTCACAAATATGCATGGTCTCATTCCGGTGCACATTTAAAACGAGACAAAATAATTCACTTACACTTTTTTGATGCCAACTATGATAAGCAAAGAAGTCCAGATCCTTAGCTCCTGTAAATCAGTCTGTTTATGTTAGCCTATGTGAGGTGCCTTGTGGGAAAATACCTAATTCTCTAAATCAGTGATGTAAGGACTCCAGAATACCAATGATGTGAGAAAGTCTGAACTTCAAGTGGAAGTAGTGGGAGTCAAGTCCTAAGTTTGTAAATCATTATTTTATTTTTAGCTCAGAAGAACCTTATGCTTAAGGGCATAGGATAAGATTTCAATAACTATTCCCTTTGCAAAAAATGCAAATATGTAAGGAGGTTTCTGTGCAGGTCCTGGATTAGTTTGGTTTCTGTTGGCACTTCTGCAAAATTCAGATGCTTATGTTCCAGTGTTCTTATCCAGAACCAGCTAGTTGTTGAGCAGATGATGACATTTATTGGCCAAAAAAAAAGAGTGTATTTTAAAATAAATCTGGCGGAAAACGGGATGGGCCTAATTCCTCTGAAACTGTAAGTGATGCAACAACGTTTGTTTGAATTTTAGCATAGTAGCACTGATTTCATGAGCTAATTATTTTCCAGTTATATTTCAAATTCTGACCATAACTTGATACATAGCCTTGAATAACCTCTCTTTTAATGTGAAATCTGGATAATACTCACCTATTTCCCACAGATACTGATTAACAAATAATTGTGTACTGTTTTATGTTTTAAAGACCTAAAATACACTATTAGAACAAACTAACTTTTTTCTTTAAACTAACTGACAGTAAATCATTCTCTAAAAATCACGTTTTTCTTTTAATCTGTGAATCTTTTCATTTCAGATGATTATTAAAGCTGATATTTCAAATGCAATACAGAACTAAAAAAATAACTAATTTCACTCTTACATTTGAGTTACAGTTGAGGTTTTCAGTTTATATAAAACTTGGATTGTCATTTGGGTCATCATATGCAAAACCATACTTTCAATTTTAGGTCTTAGAAAGATTAGCGTTACATTTGCACCATGAGAGAACATATTTTAGCCAAGAAACCAATGGTAAGAAACTAGAGCCAAAAGCTTGATCTCAAATTTGGAAGAGTAGTGGGGCTTGTGTTGTTCCAAGTGCATACTCCATTCTCATCTCCTATCCTTGTATTTTTATTTTCAGCTTAAACAAAGCACCAGAATATGTTTGAGAGCTGATACCATGCAGAATTTCAATACAATTCATATTTCATATGATTGTAGCATTCACAGATAAATAGAGGTGGTTAATTATGTTCAATTTTATGTCTTAAGACAAAATAAATTTTACAGTCACTTCATTTCTGTGATGGTCATGTTTTCTGTAATTGTACAGCTTAGAAAATAAGGTCAGTGTATTGGATTTGTGTAATTTTAAAAGGTAACTCCTCTTCCAACTAAAGACAAAGCTAATCCGGCTAAGTCATAACTCAAATACTGTTAGTGTAAAGAATATTGTAAATTTTACCATATGTGTGAATTACAGAGAGAAGAACTACCTATATGAATATATGAATGAAAAAATCAGAAGTTATTTAACCTTTTTTGGCAGCTGCTTCTTCTTCCTTTTTCTTTTGTTCCTCAATAGCTTTCATCTTCTCTTCATATTCATCAGCTCTAGTTTTCCATTCAACCCTGTTGTTCTGAAGACCGTCAAACATGGGTGTAATTTCCTTGTGAAATCTTGAGAATTCCTACGCAAGCAATTGAATTTAATGAATTAGAAATATGAAAACACTGTTGATTTGTAAAGTACAAATTTCTGGAAATGCTGCTTTGCGGAGAAAGCATTTGCTTTAATTTTTCTATTAAAATTATTATTTCTGTTTGTATGCTGTATAAATTAATTTTAATTGATAGTTTGTGGTTTTGATTTGTTTGTTTGTTTGTTTTGCAACTACTTGTTCCATTTATATTAGCTGGTTTTCTATAGAATTGAAAAGAAGTTTTATAATAATGCCACTATCTGCCAGTGCATGTTTGTGAGTGTATTTTTGGCCAAGCCATGGTGGCATATTATTGAAAAGATTGTGTTGGGATAATAATGACATATTGCACCCACACTGTTAGAATATATCTGAATTATGTGTTGCACGTTTTAGTATTTTCCCTAAATTCACATTTGAAAATCTGGTTAATATAATACAATTATAAATTTGATACCTGATATTTCCTGATATGTTTATCAATATCAAGATATACAGAAAGTCCAGTATTTTTTAGTATATTCTAGGCAGATTAGGATGTACCTAATTATATTGAAATATTGGATGATACTCTTATGAGTAATATTTTGAGATCATGTTAAAAGCTACATGCAGATTAACAAAGTTGGCATTAATGTGCTTTCCAGAAAATATACAATGGCTGTTCGTACAGAACATTGTGAATTTTCTGTTCATTTAAGTGTGCCATTAACTGATTTCTGTAATCATCTACATGTCACATATTTATATTAAGTGGGACTCCTGCAACTGTCTAAAATTTTTTAGTGCAATTGTTGGTCATTAGTTGTTCCATCATCCCACTGCTTCAGTGGGAAAACAAACCAAAAAAAATGTTCTTACCTTGTACACAAAAGTGCACACAAAATCTATAAAACCAACTTGGAGCTTAGGTAGTTCATCACCTTTGTTTCTGTCCATCATGGGCTGGAACAGAATAGCAGTAATTTAGATCATGCAGAAATCATGCTTTTGGTTATGATGAACTAATAATCATTGTTGACCATTATCTATTCAGTATTTAAATAATAGACAATATTGTTTAAACACTTAAATTATTTAGTGCTTACAATTGGTTGTTGCTGTAATACAGTTCGTTCCAGGTCACCTTGCTCCCAAAATTCATTTGCAACCATGAGGGCAACCTGAAAAATCATAATTCAAAGGAAATGTAAGCTATAAACAATAGATCTGAATGAATAAATAAATGAAGGAAGGCAAGAACAAGGCTTTCCAGAAAAAATAATAATAATAATAATAATGTTTATTTTCTCAGAACTATCATATTACAGTTTAAATAAACATATTGTCAATTTACCACTAAACTATTATTACTAACTTCACATCCACTGAAGAGGATATATTTCTTGCTAGCTGTGTTATTTCTGAGTAGCTTAAAAAGTTCTCCACAAATACAGAGTTTTAGTCAAAGACAATAGAATTCTACCATTTAATCCTTGAGAGAGTTGAGCACTTCTGTCAGGAATTGTAAACACTTTCTGGTGTATTTAAGGCTTTCTGCAGAAAATGATTATCTTCCATTTTTACATGCTGGTGCACACTATTTAAAAGATAGATTTGGGAGTTGAAATTAGATGATCTCCAAGGGACAAACCCAAGTCAATCTATGATTCTATGTTTTTATGATTATCATCATCAGCAGTACCATGACAATATTAGCAACACAACAGAATCTGTTAGTTCCTGTGATGCATAAAATCTTGAAATCATTGAATGGCTTGGGTTGGAAGGGACCTGAAAGCCCATCCAATTCCAAACCCCCTCCACTGGCAGGGTCGCCACCCACTAGATCAGGCTGTCCAGGGCCCCATCCAACCTGGCCTTGAACGCTTCCATTGATGGGGCATCCACAGCTTTCCTAGGCAGTCTGTTTCAGTAACTCACCACCCTCTGAGTAAAAGGTTTCCCTTCTTAGAAATTACTCAGAAGACTCCATAACCAGCTTGTGTTTTGATTATGCATTGCTAAAACCTATACCTGTAAAATTAATGGATGAGTTTGAGCTTGAATGTCAGTAAGTACTGAAGTATTTGAAGTATTTAACTGCTAGGCAGTGTCACATTTTATTACTGAATTTATTCTTAGCATGATCAAGCTACTTTGAAACACTAAGATCTACAGAATAGGCAAATTTATTCAGTTTTTTCTGTTGTGAAATCTGTACCTTAGATACACCTGAAAAATAGCAAAAGTTGGATTACACTAATGCAGTGTAGTAACATTTAAGGATAGCTAGAACAGCTGACAGATTTGGAAAGGGCAGTTTTAGCTGACTGACAAGTAGAAAAGAGGAGATAGCCCTTGCACTCTCAGTGACAGAAGCACAGAGGTTGATTTTTAGAAGGGCAGTTGGGTGCAAATAGTTATATATCTATCAATTTATAATAAGTATTGTGTTTGGGTCATGACATCAGGCACAAGTGGGCAATAAAACATAGCAAATGGGATTTTTGGCTTGAAAAGTACTTACCTTACTTTGTACCTCCCAAGGCTTGGTTATAGCAGACAAGTCACATCCGGTCATCATCATAGCCCTTTAAAAGCAAGGAGTAAAAATAATTAGAATGATGAAAGAAAAAACAAACAAGCAAACAAAAAGCAACAACAGCAATTAAAAAAAAGCCACCAGCAAAAGATCCATATTTTAAGCTATTTAGATACACAAGATGCAGTTAGATGCACTATTTGAGAAGACATTTAAATTCATGGTTATGCTCATCATCAGATGATAACAACAAATCTCAATTTGCATATCTAGATGCCCAAATACTTTTGAAATCTGTTTGTAGTTAACTGATTGAATAAAGAGCAATATATTAACCACCTACATGATGACTTCTTTTTTGGTTGGATCAATAGATATATATTTAATTGCCTCCTCTTCTGTTTCCATTTTTTCAATTGCATCCACAATCTTTTGAAACATAGTCCTTTTCCTGTGAAAACATACAGGTAAACCATATATTAGTAAACAAAAATCCTGCATTATGAATAAAACAAAATAAATCCCATATTTCTCATATACATTCTTTTCCAAAGTTGCATCCTAGTCATAGTAGTCTCAAAGTGATACTTCTTCCCCCTGAACTCCAAGTTTCCAGTTAACCTAACACATTTATATTTTGCTGTATACCCCTGATGTATGAAGCACTATTTCAAAGTTTCTGACAAAGATTCAAGTAACAAGTTTCCTGACTCTGCTTATTAAACTGTTCAAAGTGACATTAATGTTTCTTTAGTATTATGTTTTCCTACATAATATTCCTTCCAGCAATGTAATGAATCGGGAAAAGAGAAGCAAATACTAACAACTGTCCCCTCATTCTAAAAAATCCTTGAAACTTGACTGAGAGGTACTCTGAAAAATTTGTCTTATTACTGCTTAATGAATCTTTTAATTTGCATTTCAAATGAAAGAAATAATGGGGTTAGTTTTTATTGAAATTTAGTAACGGCCACTGAACATCTAACTGAATTGTTTCCTGTTCCTAGTTTTAAATCATCCCACTCATAAGGCATCTGGACCAGCCAACCAACAAACAAACAATAGTCTCACTAACCTTTGCAAAAACAAGATAATAAAGTTGGGTGAATATTTTTTTATGTGAGGTCTTTGGCATATTTAGCATTGGGATGAGTTGATGTCTGTTTTTAACCCAGAATCTCAATTTCTTTTTCATAAGCATTCTCCTGTTCAATATGAGTAATCACAGTATGGTACACTATCACACATGCAGACAACTTTATCATTAGGCTACGTAATTTACAATTCTGAAATATATCTGCTGTAACTTAATGCATATTTGAATTACCTGCTAGATGCATACAAAGTATTATAGACACATTTTGAAAGATTATAATGAAGATAAGAACGTCTTGTTTTTTTTAAATGAGAATTAGACTTACTAAAATACAGCTCTGTACTCTGCATATAACAAGCAAAAACTACAGCTGTAAATAGCATAGGACTGACATTTTTTCAGTAGGAAGTTACACAGAATTTAGTACTTACTTGAAATACAAAGCCAAGTCAGTTGCTATTATTGCGACTTCAAATAGGTGTAGAACGGTTTCAAACTGGCGCTTATTTAGGTTCTGGAAGATGTTTAAACTCTGCAAGATGGAAAGTTTACGAATTCAATTCCTCTTATAAAACTGTCTTTGCTTTGTACTCTATAGGCTGCCCCATAGGACAGTATATCCAAACTGTATGTATGTTCAACTATACGCTCTAAATCAAAATAACACTACAAATGAAAAGTTCTCCAGAGGTGGCCCTCATTCAGGAGTAGTACTTAAGTTTTTAAATACTGTTATTTCTATCAGTTACAGCTGCAGAAATGTCTGAGAATGAGATACAAATATGCACATCCTGGTGTATATTTTTCACAACCATCTCATATATACTAACCAAATCTTTACCACCTTTTAAGAGGAAAGATGGAAAAGTGAAAAATGCTTTTGGAAAAAGAAAAGCAGGATCAGCTGGCATAGAAGCTGGGAGAGATAACTAGAAAGAATTGCATTGGGACTGCATGGAATCATTAAGGTTGGACGGGATCAGAATAAATGGCTAAATACTGTGTAGGGAGATCCAAATTCCTGCCTCCAGAGGCTGCACAAATAACTAAATTCATATTGACTTGGTCTGCTATTGTTAAGTTTAAATTAAAATCAAATAAAATCACCTATATTCTATATAATTCATCAAGAAATGGCTGCTTTTCCTTGTTTCTTTGCCAGTCACATCCATGGACCTGAGAGTTTTTCCAGACCTCTTCTTCCTGTTAGCCTGGCTTAGCACAATTGCCTGTGGGTTATTAGGGCCCTGCTTCTGTAAAGTGCAGTGTCCTTTTTCCCAAGCAAAGGGAATGCAAGCACCACACCCCGGTTTTCCTTCTGTTTTTAACTGAGGTGAGCAGGGGCGTTGTGGTTCCCCTGTTCAGCACCCTCAAAATACTGACCCCCAAAAATCAATGGTTGCTCTCCAGCATCTCACAATTGAAAAAGTGCCCCATCTCCATCAATAAAGGTAATTTTTTTTTTTTTTTTTTAAAGTAACATATCTGTTTTGTGTTCTGAGATGTTTTTCTCAGATGTAGAAGCGAGTGCCTTCCATACTGCTTGCTGCAAACAAGTGGGATGGAAGATCCTTGAGATTTCAGGTGTACACAGTTATTATTATTATTTTTATTATTTCCCTGAAAAAAAATATCTAGTAAATAGTTTTAAATAGACTTTTTGCCTGTAGCCTGGAGCCAGGCTCTGCTGAGGGTGGAATGGCTGTCCTGTGCAGGAGGTACAGGGCTCTGCAGGGCCGACATTTTGTTGAGCCTGAGGGAAGCAAGATGGCGCCACCATAGCCCTGTGGGAACACCTGTGCCCACGCACAGAGCGGAGCAGAACTCTGAAATGTGGCAGCAAAAAGCCAGAGGAACTAAACTCAGACCTAACCTGCAGCTGTTTAATTGCCGTACCTTGTGTTTTCTACACCAACTTCAGCTGTTTGTGAGAGGCATGCGAGTGAGGCCTACAGGACAAGCTGCTTTTCTCTGCAAGTAGGCAGTGAGTAAGAATTTGGTTTAAACTTCTGAATTTGAGCACAATTTCTTAATCGGGAATTAGAGAAATGAATAAGACCTGTAAAAAACTTGTGGTTTATTTGGATCTTTTGTGTTGATTGCTGTAAGCAGAAGATTCATGCAAACATACCTCATCTTGCAGTAGGGTTTTACTGTACTCCAGGTGATGTCTTTCTAAAATGGAAGAGCCGTGAAGCTTTGCTAGTGGAGCAGCTGATCTGTTAAAAAATACATAATTGTTTACAGTATTTTGAGGCAATATCTGTGATTCAGAATTCAGATTTTGGGGATTAAAATACTTCTGCTATTGATCTGTTTATTCAGTAGCTTAAAATATATCTTAAGCACTAGTATGAGGCAGAGCAAGAAGTATGGTTTTTTTGTCTTTGTTCCTGTGATGGTAAAGACAGATTTAAGAGATTTCAGTGCCTGCTGAAAATCAGCTGTACTTTGAAAATCTCTCTATTTACCTTGTATTTATCTTGTATATTCCATTCTACTGTTTGTTTGATCTACATGATTTCTGCATATTTTAAAAATAATCTTAAGCCGTCGTTTAGTATTTATTGTGTGGCGTGACTTTTATCTGTAATTACTGTGGAGCATGTCCCCTGTGATTTTAACTTAATGTAAGTTAAATCTAAAGTAATAATATAATGGAATTTAATTCCTTTATCGCTTTGGCTCCTCCCTTCCCCCAGAATCACTGATTTATGAACTGTGCAAGTCCTGACTGCTCAGATGTCTTTAGTCTTATCACAGAGCTCAAAGAATCCCTCTGACCTTGGTCTAATCTTCAAGGTAATTCTGGTTCAGACTACAGCAGTGGGAGGAAGGGACAAATATCCTATCTATGCTCCAGGTTGTTCTCCACACTGAGAAGTGTATTTTCCTCCTTCTCTGGGCTAAAAAATTGTTTCCTGAGATAAACCAAGGTGCATTGGTATAGGCTACCTGTGATTTCTGCCTTTGTAGATGAGGTCAAGTTCCAGGCTGTAGTGCTAAAGCAGATGGGTTTTATAAATAGCTTTACTGTGTATGACCTCAAGTAGAGGGCTTTCAGCTAGGGAAGACCATACTAGGAAGATTTAAAAACCCCTTAAACTTATTTGGATGAGAGGCAGTCAGCTGAATAAGGATCAGCATCTGTCATACTCTCTCTCCTACATCACTCGGAGAATCCCAGAGAATAATCAGAAGATCCCCTAACGTCACTGCTCCAGTCTGAAACTCCTCTCCTGGGCTGAGTGTGTCCAGGGACAGAGGAGGAGGATGAATCATTCTGGAGATGCATTTAGTGGAAATAGTACTCTCAGAAAATTATGGTTTGAATCTCCTGGCCCACACGATATTCTGAGAATCCTGTGTTCTCTAGTGGCTAGCACACAGAAGAACTACCAAATCACTCAAAAAACTAAATAGTAGGTTGCTCACTCTTCAACAGTGGGCCTCACCATGATTTGTAAAGCTGTAATAAACAGGTAAATTTAAAATAATATGGATTTATATTTTTTCATTATGATAATTTACTAAGAACTAGAGAAAGATCACAAGCAAGCTTTTTTGTACATTTAGAACACAAAGGAACGTGAATTGCAAAGCTTAACCTTGTGGTATATAACTTGCTGGTATGTGACCCCTGTGGCAGAAACCAAGCTCGTAGTTTTGCATTGTACATAATGTGAGGAGATTATATCTCAAAAAAGGACCTATGTCAATCAGTGAATTCACTGGAGGGAGCAAAAAAGCGAGGTGAATCAGCCAGTAGAACACTGAGAAAAGAATGCACCTAAATTCCTGTCTTTAAGCTGGCCTTCGAATATTCCAGATGCTGAATCTCTCTCCAGAAAAATGCCTTTACTCTATCTTGAAAGATAAATAAAAAACTCCAGTTAAGTACTTTCTACTCTTTTTATTGAAGCTAATTTTGACTTATCACTAGTGTAACAAGACAGAGCACTGAAGTTTAATTTTGGAACTTCCTGACTAAGGTAGTCAGATAAGTAATAGAAGTTCATCTGCCATATGCTTAGATCATGTATAGAGATTGATGATGCTTTCTTTTTAAAATCCTAAAAATTCCTTTTTGCTTCTTGTGATAGTTAAAACAACTGTCTAACTTTAAAATGAATTGCAGCTCCAGCAGATCCTTCTAAGATTCTGCTTTTGAGGTTTCTCATTGTTTCAGTTGCCATGACAAATTCTCAGAGGCAGAAATCTTCTGTATGATGAATATCAGTCAATGGCTTAGGTTGGAGGGGACCTTGAGGATTATCTAATTCCAACTCTCCTGCCATGGGCAGGGTTGCCACTCATTAGATCTGGCTGCCCAGGATCTGATCTGACCTGGATTTATGTGCCTCCAGGGATGGGGCATCCACAGCTTCTCTGGGCAGCCTGTGCCAGTGCCTCTGAGTAAAAAAAAATTCTGCCTAATATCTAACCTAAATTTCCCCTCTTTTAGTTTAAAGCCATTCCCCTTGTATTATCATAATCAGATCATGTAAAGAGTTGGTCTCCCTCCTACTTTCAAGCTTCCTTCAAGTATGGGAAGGCCACAATGATGTCTCACCAGTGCCTTCTCTTCTCCAAGCTAAACAAGCCCAGCTCCCTCAGCCTTTCAAGTCCCTTCATGCTAGATGTTCATGGAATACCTACAGTATATTTTTGCATGTGTTAACATGTTCTTCCTTTTGCCACTCAAAGTATTGCATAGCCATATATTTGCATTTACCAAATCTGTTAATTTTACTTACTTCATTTGATACAAGTTATTGGTCCCTCTGTGATCAATGTCATGGCAGAAAGCAGCAGCAACCATGGCAAAGGCTTCTAGATCAGTGTAGTATTTCTTTATTCTACCTGTCTGTAAAGGAAAACAATTCTTACTGTGCACCTTCCTTGAAAGGAAAGCTAAGTAATGAATGTAAGGTTGATATTGTCGACATTACCATCAGCAAAGTAAACATTGTTTGTCCCACGTTGAATCCATGTCGCCAGTTGTGGTAAGTGATATCTCGATAACCCTTCCTGACTGTGTACATCCATCTTGTAAGGACCTAGTATGAATAAAAGTGATTGAGACTGTGCTGTTCACTGAAATGAAATTAATGGACTGTTCTGTAAAATTACTGCAATAATATGCTTTTTTTTTAAATGAAAATAATTAAACTATGCATTATGTAAATGCATATTGATTTAATTCCTTAAGAGGTCAAGCAAGTTCAGAATCAATTTAAGTCTTTATAACAATTGTGCAAATATTCAGAATGTTGTTATTCATACCTCTCATACTTTAGTATAGCTTACTCCTGTATTAAAGAACCTACAATCAGTCTGCTATGTTAAAAGAAATACAAATGACAAAATAAATCAAACCTCTGCTGGGACTTTGAACTTTTCAACAACATTTATCTCAAAGAACAGTCGTATTCCACAAGTTATCAAGCCGTGTTCTGTAACAGGAAAGTCACTGAAGCGAAATTCATATAGTTCTAAGTCTTTGGGATCGGGTAGTTCTTCTTTCTGTTAGGAAAAGTCGAAAGCAGAAGGATTTTTATGTCAAGTACAAAGTTGAACGAACTGTTTTCTTACTTCATTGGGAACACTGCATAAGGACAATATGCTTACTGTATCTTCAAAACCTAATATGTATTACATTTTGAAACACAATGGTGATACTAGTCTTCTCTTCCAAGAGGATGGGTAAGAATGTTGCCTAGATGGTTTTTCTTCCTGCTCTTGATTTCAACACAATTGGTTGGGACCATCTCAGCATTTCCTCAATGAGGAAATCTCAGGTCTTGGGGTTCTTCCTTCCTGGTATAAAATCTTGTAATTTCTCTGCTTTAGCCTGGTCTCAGAGTTGCAGTTCTCTTTCACAACCAAAATTATTCAGCAAGCCCTTCTCTTCACAATTAATAGTCTAAATCATGAGTAATCTTATATTTTGTCTGCCTGCAGTAGATTCTTGACTGCTTTGCTTTTGAATGATCTCAAACTGAAAATTCAAGGCTAAAATGTACAAAGCTTGTAGAATTCAAATTTGTTATTGTTTACTTCATATCCCTTAGAGCCCTTTTTTACTGCTGTGGTTGGTGGTAAATTACAATTGTCTTCTGTAATTTACAACAGCCTGTTCTGAATAATTGTGCTCCTTGATGAAAATGAAAGCTCATTTCAGAAGTAATGGACAGTGTAAGTTCATAATCTTATCCTACACATTCTAGGGGAAAATGGCTGGATGTCATGCAGGGATATTTCTCTCCCTGAAGGGCAGATACAGAGCTTATGTCAGCTCTCTCATGAAGCGAAGAACTTTTGAAAAGAATTCTAAAATTCAAGGGATCAAAAGGTTGAGAAGCTTGTACTAAATTTCAAAGTGCCTATTTTGTATACATTTTATAGATTCACATTAAATAGCCTAACTGGTGATAGTGGTATTGGCAAGTAGCAGTTTTCATTTATATATCCCAAAAACCTAAGGAGAACAGCAGAATATTTGAAAGTAAATGCCTTAAAAAAATAAAAAATTAATTCAGGGAAGTCTGATACAACCCAAAAATAGATTATATGATCACAGAGATTTTCTTCCATCACATAGTCAATAAATGATCTCCCTTACACAGATAAGGAAAGTTATAACAAAATCTATTTGCTCCTGGACAATGTATTTAAACAAAAGAGGCTGAGCAACTATAGAACTGTATTTATTTCTCCCTTTGTTGAATTTCTCTTTAAATTTACTCTGATCTGAGGTCAAGGGCAAGGAAACCTGTAACAGTGGTGTTTTAAGACCCATTACTTTGTGAATCATCAGATCTAGAAACACCTGCTTTATCTCATTAGCAATCTGGGATTCCAGGCCTTATAATAGGATAAAGCACTTGCATGTAGCCTTGGCAGTACAGAATATACTAGACCTTTTGATTTGTGACACCACTCTGTTGAAAGAACTCATTCTACTTGCTTTCTGGAATTTAAAAATTCATACAATATTATTACCTTTGGAAGCCTGCACTATCCTAATTACTTGTTGCTATACAAGTAGAAAGATTTGGTAAAGTTTATTGATGTTTACTTTAGCAACTTTGTGAAGCATTGATGTGTTTTCAGTTTCACTACATACAAGCTGCATGAACATCTTTTCTGTGGGAGCCAGTGAAACTTCAACACCATTGCACTCTGGCATATACCTTAACTAGCAGTAGCTTCATGAGACCTGTTCCCTATGGCTATGACTATGTTAGCTAATGTGGTATAGTAGGAGGAAATATGTGTGGCTGGTAGTAGAAGTCAACTGTCTTGCATGTATCTGATATTTCTTTTTTGGTCTGGTTCTGTATTGATACATTTACAGTAGAACTTCATTACTTTCCTGAAGCACACCTTTTGGTTTAATTTCAGTTAGACCATGTATGCTTCAGGACTGTTCTGCAAGGAAAAACAAAGTGCAGTAAGTGGGCACAAAAGGTGTTTTGCTTCAAGAAGGCATTCCCTTCTGGGCTGAAGTACCAAGGCAGAAGTGTACACAGTCTAGAAGGAAAATGGCTCATTTTTGTTTTAGCAGGAGGAGAGATTTAATTGCTTAGGTCAAATTTGTTTCAGCGCTGCAGAGTATCTTACTGCTGCATTTGGACTTCACCTAGAGAGATGCAGGATAGTTCATGGGAAAGTAGATTAGTTCTACTGGAAACTCTTGTATGTGTTCTCTTACTCAGAATGGAAGTGACCTGGCATCATTATACCTTCTGTTTTTTTCAAAATGAAATAAATGTGTAGCACTGTTCATGTAGCATTCACCACTTTAAATGTTAATTGATATAAATCTTTCTATATAACTCTGGCTATCCAGGTCTATTAAAACATATATCAGAGACAGTGCTTCCTTGTAGGTAACAGTGGAGTCTGTACATGAAGAAACTGAAGAAGTCGAAGATATACTATTAAATTAGCTCCATCTAGTTGTGGAATTGATAGCTAGTATCAGTGGTATTAAGCAAAATTTATCTATATACAGCTTTTTGAATAAGAGCCATTGCTATTTGATATCAACATTCTTCTGGAAGTCAAATTTTCATTTATTGACTTACCAAAATCCTGATAAGATCTTTTTCATCACATTCTTCTATACTCTTTACATTTAATTTTTCTTTGTATTTCTGAAAATGAAAATGAACAATACTTTCAGGTTTTGTATAGCAAATTTCCTACTTCAATTTTGTGGATAGAAACTCACCAGTATAGATTCAACTTCAGTAGGAGTAGCCTTTGTCTGGTACATAAGCATTTCCTGAGCAATGTCTTTTCTATTTTCAAGCTTGTTCATTTTATCATAAGTGTCGGTATTTAAAACAGACCACCCCAGGAACTGTGTAAGAGTCTGGAACAAAACAAAGCAAAGGTTAGGTGACAGCATGACAATAAAATTGAACTGTCAATTTAAACTTAATTCTTAAAATTTACATTCTGGTCATGCTCTTTGAAAATCAACACTCAATTTGACCTGTTAGAAGACTTTACCTTCCCATCAACTGGTGCCATTTGACCTTTGCAGCTTTTAAGGATGTTGTTTGTTTCAACCCGTGCCCATCTTCCTATCTTATATATTATAATTGCCCATATTCCCATCTTATATGCAGGAGTTTGAGGCTTATGAAGTTTAGGTTAGCTTGGGGGACTTGAACACAATGTGTAATATCATATCTTTCGTAAGTACATGATCTCCCATAGAGTTCATGATTGCAGGCATATCCATTGGTAAGCAGCATGCCATGCCTGCTAATATTTGGCATTTGGACATTGTCCTTGATATTGTACTTCAACTTTTGGCTAGCCCTGAGGTGGTCAGGCACTTTGACTGGAAGATCTTCCAAAGTTCCTTACATCTGAACTGTTCCATTCCATCCCATTTTTAATCCACTCACATTAATTATGAACGTTGACCATCATTAAAGACTCAAATGACTTAAAAATATCTGACTTTGGTTCATTATTGGAATGTAAATGATCTCATAAATTTTCAGTTTTATAAACAGAGAAAAAAATCTCTCATTCTTAAGAAACTGTGGTAAGAAAGATAGTCTTTTGGCCAGATGTTAATATAGCCTGCTAAAAATTGCCAAGTTAGCATCATATGGCTCCTTAGGGTCTGTAATCCTATTATACTTACTTCAATTATCTGTTCATCGTACTCATCAAAAGGTTTTCCATCTTTCCTGTTGTAGAATGTTGCAACTCCCACAATTTCTTCTTTTTTGTTGACAATAGGCAATGAAAGGACATTTTTGATAACCCATCCAGTCTCATCCACGGGTCCTTTCTATAGAAAAGGCAGAGAGGAAGAAATGTTGCATGTTTCTTTGAAAGTAGTAATACAGCTATTAATATAGGTTCTGTAACACTAGTCCCATGAATCACAAAGAAAGGAGAAAATTTTCATGTACTCAATCATATAACTAATTTGTGGAAGGATTTAGCATATTTTTCCACAATATTTATATATATATTACTTGAATTACCTGAAATGTGAAATATTCATCTGCTGGTGCATTCATCATGTTACAAATCTGCAATATAAAAAAAAGGAGACATTATTCAAAGAAAATATAGCATGCATCATGACTTGGCCTGTCTTTTTTTTTTTTTTAAAAGGATATTTTAAGCTAAAAGCAGTGAGCATCCTAGCTAGCTACAAAGAGTAAAACTGTCCCTATTAATTTAGTTGTGGGTGTTCTTACGTATCATTTTGGAGCATTTACACCAAAGTGCCTCATGTATGGAACCTCACAATGCACAAGCATAAATGTTAAGAAAACTTGTGTGCCAGTTTTCAGTGACCTGGGGAATTGCAGAAGTAAATTGAATACTACCTCAAAAGGCTATGTATTTATTGCTATTAAAAATGACATAGAGTTAGTAATAGCTGTCATTCACAATGACTTTGAATTACATATCTTGGCTACGCTGTGTGCCATGCTAAACCAGTGTTGTACCAGTATGGAGCTGAATATACTTTCTGGCTGATTTGGCCCAGCCCACATTTTCCAACTTACTGCTACGTAGAAGACATGAGAAAAGGAAAGAAAAAACTTTTAATGGTGTATATTTAGACACTTACTGTGAGTAATAGTTCACACATTTGGAAAGAAACATGCACCATGCAAATTTATTCCTCCAATGTTACCATAATTGGAGGGAAATTTTCTTGGTATTTTGGATATTAGTGCTATGGGTTTGTCTCCATACAGGCTACTGATTCACATAACTTTGGAAGCGGTGCAGTATTTTTAGATAATTTGGGTATGGGAAGTATTTTTTCTTTTTTTTTGTTCAATCAGAAGAACTTCATATATTAACACATGTAGTTTTTACTTTTGGTATGAACTTACAAATCCATTTTCTGCAACATATGTTGGCAATCCACTGATAAGACACCAGTGATCTGCTGGAGGTGACCTTTAGAGAGAGAATGAAATTAGATGATTTTTGCAGATACAGACATGCTAGTAATCTATCTCAGCAATAAATCTAATTGCCATACATTAGCAGGCTGCCCAGGAATACTCACGGAATGACTTTGATTTCTTCTTTCCCATGCAAGATGTAGTCAATAATCTTATAAAAGTTGACTTCCTAAACAAAAAGAGAAAAACATCTAAGTTACCTGTACAACCTCAATGTCAAAGTTAAGATTCATTAAAAGAAAAATTAATATCCTCACTCTTCCATCAGGTGTCTTGGGACCTTTGTAAGGCTCTGCCTCCCCCAGCCGAATGGGCCATTCATCATAGAACTCCTGACAAAATAATACACAGATGTTAGCAAAATTAAAAATCTGTTCAGTGTTCAGAGATAGCATGAGATTTATGGATAACAGTCTTATTTTTCTCTCTCCACAAGAGTTTTATGGACACGTTTCAGGAAAACAAACAAACAAACCACAAAGTATATTCCAGGCAAGAAATGGTAACCAGTAAATTTCAGACTAATATGAAGCTTGTCTCTTCACTTGTACAGTGTAGTTGTTTTAGTAAATAGCAATTTTTTAAAGCAGTAATCAGACTACATTTCTCTCTTCTTTCTTTACTCAGAATTGTATGATAAATTCAAAAAATGATTTTATAATGTTTATCATGGTTGCGTGCTTTGCCATTCTTATTTTGCATCTGTTGTTGTAACTCGGTTAGATTTTGTATAAATTATCTCAAAGGGTTAGAAAGGATTGTATCTTTATGTCTTGGAGCGATCTAGAAATATGCAGACACTAGAAATAGGCAGAACCAGTGAATTAGAAGGACAGATTTTATAACTTACAGTTAGGAGTAACACTTTTCTGGCAGGTAAGCAAAATGAATGTTACCTTCTCTTTAGTCATGTCCAGCAGACCAACAGAATATCTTTCACAGTTTAAATACATTCGAATAGTATACAGTGCTTTGTGAAACTGACGTTCTATGTCTGTTAGCTCTTCAAATACTTTGTTGGCAGACCACAACAGCATCTATTTACAACAGAAGAGAAAGAGAGTGAGTCAACAGTAAAATGCATTTGAATGGAACAAAACAAACCATACGCATAGGAATGACAGGCATCCCAAAATAAAGCAATAAGTTGAATTACTGTTATCGGAGAAATAAATAAATAAGATGCTTTTCTTACTCTAATAAGCATGTGAAACTGTTGGACAGTGAGAAGAATGGTTTCATGCAAAAACAAAGTATCATCATTTACTATCATCTTATCTTATCTTACTATCATCTTAGTATCATCATTTACATCATCTTCTATACCTGACTTCTTCGGGATTCAACGTTGTAGAGATATGAGGTATGATGGTTTCTTAGGACCAAAGATATAAAATTGAGGTATTTTTTAAAGACCTAAAAATGACAAAACAAAAAGCCAAGAATAAGACATTTTCAAATCAAGAGGTAGATTCATTCAAACTATTTGGTGAACTAGTGACTGTGCTGTTGTATAATAGGAGATTATTACCTCTTCATCCTCTTTTGAGAACTCACTGGCGTTTAATTTGTTGAGAGCCATGACAACAGCAAGCACCTCTTTACCCTGCATGATTGGGATTGCCAACATATTGACAGTGGTATAACCAGTTTTTTTGTCCAGAAAGTCTGAAAAATGGTTATTCTGGAAGAAAAAAATATCGAAAACACAGTTTAAATACTTTACTTATGAGTCAATTTTTATACCAAAAATAAATGGTTATTTTATTTCATAATTTATATTTGCAATGATGTAAGCACAATCTCACGGTGCAGTAAGCTGATACTGCCCAAACGATTATCGTTATTTAATACAGTGTCACAAGGTTGAATGTAAATACATTTTTAAGAATTGGTTGTGAATGTGGATACCGCAACCAAGTTCAAGACAGATTTGAGGAATTAAAAGCTCAAATAAAGCAGAGAATAATATTAATTTACCTAATAGTCTAATGCATGTGGTGTGCATGTAAGAGATTTACTTCATAACTGCATTAATATTTATTATTGTTCATTTATTTCTGTAGATAAAATGAATGATACTATCCCATCGCATGATATTAAAAACTATGTGTGAAACTCTTTACAATCTTTGTGGCTGAAAATGCATCTGTCAGGGAGGCATCCCCAGCAGGTGCACACCTGACTTAGCCATGTGTTGTTGCTTTCTCTGTTTCTAGGAGAAAGCTATGGGGATGTCTCACTTAACTGAATTCCTGATCTCTTAATATTTAAAAGGGACCTGTATACACGAAGTGAGTGGAATCATCTGGACATAGCAGCTGAGTCTTAATTTCTTTAACTGAAGGTACAAGAAGTGGTGCTTAGGAAGAAGCACTAGGGTCACAAGATTTTTAGAGATGGCAGGAAAATTTTAAAGGATGCAAGTCTATGTCAATAAACAAAAAGATCTGTAACCATAAGCCAACCTGCACTGTGTCTGGATAGTTCAGTGCAGATAGGTAAAAATACCTCATAATACGCTGATGACTCTTTCACAGCATATACACAGATTTCATATGATTTTTGTATGCAAGCAAAATTTTGTGTATTGATTTGGACCTTTCAATATTGAAAATTTTGCTCATAATTGGTAGTAGTTTGTTCCCAGTCAAGATTTTAACATATTTTCTCTTGCAAACATAAGCTCCTTTGGCTTTGAAGAAAATCACTTTTCATAATGTCTGGAAAATCCTGTTCATAATCAAATAATCTTTTAGCATCAGAGCCAAAATAATATCTTTCTGCTCCTATTGCTACTCCTACTTTCTGCTCCGATTATAAGGTAGACAATTTATTTGAGCCTGACCTTATAAGTGGAGCCATCTTTGAGTGCTGTTGTGAACTTTCAGCTTTCAGCTAAATCATAAAACAGACTAAAAAAGATGGGGGAAAGGAGGTTTGTTCATAATTCTCTACATTTGCAAGTGTTTTCTACTATCTCCTGTTGAAGCTAAGATACATAGCCTCTGACTGTACCACAGTACCCTGTAGATACCTGCTAAGCTGTGCAACGCATCCTGGACTTGCACTAAGCTAGGACCACTTACATGAGAGGAAAATCAGGACCCCTCTCTGTGTTTATCTTTCTGTTACAGGTGATTAAAAAGATGATTGGAGAAGGGTCTGACAGCTGACCATTATTCTAGCCAGTTTACTTGAAATGACTAATTCATTTTTCTTCATTCTCTACACCAGGACACCAGCTTTATCTCATTGTAACTTACATATACTACCGCTTACATATGCTACATTATTATGATAAACCTTTTCCAATGAGTTACAAACATGATGCTCTGTGTTTGCTTGATTTAGGCAACTTTAGATAACTTTTATTTCTTTATGTTCTATTTAAATGGTAGCAGTGGAATTTACAAAAAAGTAATTCACTGCTGTGAAGAGTATGATTATCTGTGAAAGGGAAAAACCAGTTATTTCTAAAAATAGTTTTTATTTTCCTTAGATGGTGTTTACTAATAAGCTTGCCTGCTGAGACACAGCTGACTGTGAACTGTAGCTACACAGCTGCAAGTTTGTGTTGGTAATAAGGTCCAATGGAGAAAAAAGTCACTTCTCTGGGAAGCAGGGGTATTAGAAAAAGAAAGTTAGTTTTCAGATAATAATGATTTAGATAATATTTTCAATTACATAAATCACACTGTTTTGTTTTCAAAAATCAGTGTTACTGTATTGGTTCTGGAAGGTTATTATTGATGGACCATCTAGAAGAAGAAACCATCTTGTCTCTCTTTTATTTCATGGTTCTCCCTGCAGATCTTGATTTCTTTCTTAGGAGAGAGATGTTCATCTATGTACCCTTTTGCTATTTCTTTCCTGATGAATTCTGCCTCACTGGCTGGTTCCTTAAGCAAACTATTAAAAAAAAAAAAAAAAAGAGTTCTCCAGAATTTTTCACAGGCTTTATTCTGTGCCAAATTTAAAAGCATATTGAAGACCATTGTTCTAATGTTTGTTCAACCATTATATGGTATTTCATGATGGAACTGCATCTCTCAGTTCACAACATTATCTTAGGATTTGCAACACTGTTCCATAACACTGCACTGTCTTAAGTATTTCTGAATGGCAAAATGCAGCCTGAGTCAACTGAGCTTGACACTACTGGGAACCTCCATACCAAACTCCACAGCATAAATTAGTGAGTGTAAATTTGATCAGAAACATGCAAAATTATTCTAAGTAATGAGTGTGATCCTTGTTAATTTGGAAAGAAAGAGAACGGGAGGCATTTGAGAAGAAAATCAGTTGAAAGCATAAAGGAATATGGATCCTTCTTCCCTGTTTGATCAGTCAGGGTGAAGACTGATTATGTTTGTTCATCTGAGGCAAGAGGAACAGCAGTTCAAAGTTGCCGATAAATGAGGTTTTTCACATTTTCAGTGTACTTTTTCCCTTTTGATTGCTTATTATCTGGTCCATCTTCAACATCTTCATTACACGTGTGATTTGCCTATTAGGAAATGAGACTTTTTCATGAACTTTGCTTCCTTGACTGGAGCCCTGCTTGGAAGCAATATGATGTAATGTTGTTTGTGTTTCACAGGCAACATTTACACCTTGGTTTTCACATCAACTCCCATTCAAAAAAACTCTTCCAGTTTCTCTCTTACTGTGTAGCCTCAGTGATGCATCAGTAACTTACTGTACAGCCAGTTCCCCATTTTAAGTTTGGCAAATTGCCTCTAACACCACAGTGGAGAAGAAATGGAAAGACTTAATCCTACAGCTGAGGTGGTAGTGCCAAGACAGCCAATGCCTGTTTTCCTCCATCCTTCTGGGAGCCCATGCAGTTATGACTAATTTGTTACTGTGCTCATTGTGGACTGGAGGTTCTGGGTTGTGTAGGTGACTTCAGAGTGGCAAAATACATGGATGACAAGGAATGGGTCTGGAGCAATATCACAGAATCATAGAGTGGCCTGGGTTGAAAAGGACCTCAAAGATCACCTAGTTTCGATCACCCTGCTGTGGGCAGGGTCACTGACCACTAGACAAGTAGTGGAGCAGAAAAACTACAGGAACTTCTGTCATTAGGAGCCAGTGTCACACTGTCATCTTTATTATGCTTTTCTTTGCACCATCTTTACATGTTTCTGCTTTTCTTTGTGGTAGGCTTGCTGTATTTTTTCCTGTTCCTGATATTTTGTTCTTCCACTGATTGTCTTCCATTGGCTCAAATTCCTTAAAAAACATTTTTACTGCTGAGTTGTAGGGAATTGGTGTGTTATATTGCTGCACCTCACATTTCTGCTTATCTTAATTTCAAATTAAGATAAAACAAATGTGTTTGCTTTATAATGATGCACTTAATTATAAATGGAATATGAAAGGTGTCTACCATCAGATAGGACAATATCATCAGTCTGATTCAAGACAAAAGAACAATTAGTTAAATTATTTGGTCATTCACTGGGCCATATTCAGAAATTTTTTATCAGGGATGTAGGACAGCTATAGTTTAACATGTAACTTGCTAGTGTTACAGAACAAATTGAATTTGATATCTTAAAGATCTCAAGAGTTTTGAAAATGAAAGCAAATAAAAATAGGTAAGGATTTATGAGTATTTGAGGATTAAACATTTTCAGTCATGTCACTGACATTCCTGCTTTTTGTTGCCAAAAGTAGCAGATGTCTTGCTTCTTTATGAAAATGAGTTTTTATTACATTTCTTTGAGCAATTTTGTTCACATTAAACAAGAAAATAAGCCTAAAGGGGAATTTTTCACTTTAGTATTTAATTTTTATGTTTTCATTTTGGCAGCTTTCCTCTTTGAACACAAGTTAATTCAGGGAAAGAAGGAAAGATGTGAATTCCATCCCTCCCCCCCCCCAAGGCAGAAAACATGATTAGTAGAAATTGGTTCCTGTATTAAAATATTTTCTTGAATGAAACTTTGTCTTTATAATAGATTGTAACAGATTTCAATTTTCCCATTTAATATTTGCTATTTTAATTATGAGTTTATGACAGTGTTTTTAGTATCAAGATGGCAAAGGTGAAATAGAGGTGCAAATATTAACATGTAGACACAGTGCAAGTTCTAGGCAGGTAAAAATCTATCCCTCTGTTTTTTCCTTATGTTTAGTTTATGCTGGGAAGCATTCAGGAAGGCAATACTTCTGAAGCACTGTCTAAAGATGGACAGAAATAAGATGCTCTTCTAATTTCTTCTAATGCTAAGAATTTTGCGTTTGTTTCTCAAGAATTTCCCTTCAAAGTTGTTTTAACAATCTAACTGGCTTATTAAACCTTATTAAACTTACTGTGTTTCATCAATATGTTGAATATTTGGGTTTCTTCTTCAAGACCACATTCCTAGGGGATGAGAACTGAGACATCTCATTACAAAATGGCAGGCCTGCTACCCAGCTTAATCACAAAGTGACTCCCACTCTTCCTTCTTCTTCCTCCCTAATCCCTTCCCACTACCATTGTCAGGTCAGTGAGTTGTGTCATTTACCATCTTGCACTCTCCTGGGCTTCTCCAGTGCTTTGTATTTCTGACGTGGATGAGCACAATTCCATCAATCTGTTCTTGCCCTAGGATGCAGTCTAAGATCAATGCCAGGCCCCAGGACTACTGCTGTACTTTAACAGAATGACTGTATGCCCAGCAGCTGGACAATGGCTTGGTGTCCAGACCTCCTCACTGCAGTGTGAGTGTTCATAGCACTGAGCTGCTACATCATGCTTCCACTTGTTCTCTTCTGTCTTCAGATAATCTTTAAGTTATTTTTACAATGCTGTGTAAATTCTAGAAAGGGGATGGAGTGTCTCTTCTTCATTCCAGGCTCCAGAGTTTGATGCATTCCCATGACTCTGAAAATCCTATCACTTCAGAAAGTCTCAATATGAAAACATCTCCCACTTTTTAATCGAAGAGAAATAGAGCTCCAGAAGAAAAGAATCATGCAAATGGAAGCTAGCTCAATTTACCAAGGGTTGATGCAGAAACTTATCACTTGAAGATGTTTTTAAGATTGTTCTGCAGGTTCCCTGTGGTTAAATTAGGTGCCACAATGATCAGTGCTCTGGCTGTTCAATCTGAGATGGAAGCATTGAATTTGTCAATGCTCTGTTGTTTATTCATTCATAATTCAAATACATAGTGGATAAAAGCAAATATATGTACTATATATGTTGGCTTTTTACAGGCTGAGAATGTGGGATTTTAATTCCTCAGTTCTTGTCTTACGTCTTAGTTCTATCTGGAAATGATATCCTAGGAAAAGATGTAACATAAAATCTTTATCGTTTTGTCAGTGTTATCAGATAATTTTTATAGGATACTAATGGGCCTATCAGATTCTGTGCAGTTTGTTATTTTATTTTGGAATGTTTAAGTAGCACACTCTACTCTGCCAGGCCTTGGGAACAATGTGAGGCCAATCATCACAGCAGTGGTCCTGCCTGCCTCCTATTTCTCACTGCTGTTAAATCCTGGATTAAATACTATAAGCTCTTGCTGTCAACAAGTCTTTAATCTTGCAGGGGGGAGTCTGTTCTTGCTACTAAGTTAATTATGAAAGGTCTGTATCTTTTCCTCCTGCTTTTCTTTTCTGTAGCATTAGTCAGGATGAGGAGCTTCCTCACGTTTGTTGGTACTTTTCCAAGCTGAAGGAGGTTATCTCTCAAGAACTGGCTACCAGGCACTAAAAGTGAAGTCCCATGTTTTTTCAAAGATTGATTGCAGTTGTGATCTTTTGTTCTGTTCCCTCCTCTTATAAAGGGGTGGTGATTAAAGCACCACAGCTTGCTGTGGGTTTGACAGTGTTACCAGGAGCTTAAGACTTAAAAAAAAAAAAAAAAAAGGCAATGCTGTTACGCTGTTTGGATATGGATTGTCAGAAATAGAAAGTGGTTAGACATGACATCCTTACAGCACCGTAGCCATCATTCATTCTGCATTTTGTATTTGTTGTGCGTTTTGTATTCTAACAAGACATTGAGGCAAAATTTCTCTCAGATTTAACTCCACTTGTCTTTTTTTTTTTGCTCTGGATTTAGGTAGTAGACAATCTAGTTTCACGGAGGTGCAATCAAAGTGATTTGAAAATTAATGCTTGTTTCAAAATGATAAAGGCTTCAGTGGCTGACTTTCTTTTGCTATGGACTGACTGTATTCCTTAAATCTTACTGGCTAAACTTGAACTTCTGTGATTTTTACAAAGATAAAGATTCTGATGACATTAGTAGGAGCTTTGCCTGTGCAGCGTGTGGATTTGGACACTGGATATTTTTTCTAATTGAATGAAAATGCTGATAGTAATAAGACCTTCATGTTAATTTTTACATAACAAATATTGGTTCCAGAAAAATCCCTTTAAGTTTCGTAATTACCTTGTAAAATGCTAACGCTTCAGTGACATTCAGTTACTAAATGTGGATTAATGGCTCTATGGTTTGGTTGTATTTTTTAAGTGTGGCCTAATGGCCACTCTGTCAGTTATCCTGAGAGAGTAAATGAATGCTGAAGACGGCTTCACAGTGGTTGAATAATAGATGAATAGGTATTCATCAAGCATTAATTCATTTATGCATGCAAAATGAATATTTAGCAGTACTAGATAGACAAAGAGATTCTCTTGTTTACATTATATTTCTCACACAATTTTGAACAAGTAGTACTGAAAGCACAGAAATATTTGAGTAGCCCTTCTCTGGGTGCCCCTCACATAATGATATTTAGGAGCTATGCAGTGTCTGATAAAAGGCACATCTTTCTTGATCCTCCTGATCTTTTCTCATGTAATCAGCCTTATGAATTTAGAAGGATTATCTTCCAATCTCCTAATGTGGTGGTAAAAGGCAGTCATACGCTTCCTGTCAGAGCAGAAGCCACCAAAGAAAGCCACCCAGTGGTTAAAAATCAACTGATTTGCTTTCTCAAATCAATCATTTTTCTGTTTATTTTCACACTTCCTACTTATATCTTAGATAGTTTATTATATAATGGAATGATCTTTTCACACACATGCAGATTTTTGATTGTTTTTGATCTTTAAGAGTAGTACTTCCTTCCTTTATGCCTGCCAACTTTTAACATGACAAAATGTGTTACTTTTTGTTTACCTCCTGCAAAAAAATAGAAAATTGCAGTTTATGTCGGCATTCAGACACTGAGGTGGTTTCGGTCTCTAAAATCCTCTGGAATTTTAAATTGTCAATATAGGAAATATGGAAAACCAGATATTTTTCTGATATAGTCATCTTTACCACCATTTGATTACACTGAGCTTTTCCACAGAAGACTAAAAAGAGGTGAAGCTGCTGCCATGTTATGCTAGAAGGTTAGTTGCCTTTAAAGAAATCTACAACAATCAAAGCACTTTTGTCTTTCCCTATGTATTTCAAAGCCATTTATAAAGCAATTCTTATTCATGCATTTCTGTCTGATTATTCAATATAATTTCCATGTAACATTTGTTATAACTCCTATCTGCACATTAAATAAACTAGGTAATTATGTGCAAATTCAACAAGAACTTTGAAAACAGCGGAGCAGCTCTTCTTCCACAGATGGTTCTGAACACATGCTGGATCTGGACATACACATAATCTGAAACTACTTTAAATTCATAGAGAGTCATGAAGCCAGACGTATGTTGACACCATCTTCATCTGGGTTCATTTACACTGTAAGGAAGCACTCTAATTAAGAAAGCTACAAATATGTTATATTCAGAGACGAGTGTATAGCACTATCAAATGATAAGGGACCTAGCAAACCTATACTGGAGAAAACAATAGGAGTCCCCTGCCTTGTTCAATAGAAACACAAGTACTTATTGGTCTATTAATATATTCTGATATATATCTGATATATTCTAATATATATCTGATATTCTCCTTCATTATTACAGTAAATCAGGTTTTGATTATTGTGCGAGGATACTAGAACTACTTCACTAGGCTACATGATGTGATACTGGGTTTTAAGCATTATCTTCTGTTGCTTTTCTCTTGCTTATATCTGGATTGCTGTCTTGGGGATGTCTCTAAAGAATGACTCCAAACCCTCAGGCCCTTTGCAGAAGGAAAGCTGAGTAAGCAAATACACAGAAACCCATCCCCCAGGGAAAATCACTCACCTTTTTCACATCAGGTATATTAAAAAACTTCTTGGTATGAGCAACCCATCCCGCTATCCCGATGTCCAAAGGGAAAACAGTCTCGTTGTCTGGATTCACCAAATTCTCCTCAAATTTGGAAGTTGGAGTGACATTGAGAAGCCTGGTAGCTACTTCTGGAGTACCATTTCGGGAACGACAAATAAACATGCTACACCGATCGGCTGCCAGCAGCTGTGACAGCCTCTGCAGGGTTTTGTGCACAATCTTTTCCATTGAGCCTGCTTCATCCTGGATTTCTGTCAGCAGCTCAAAAAGTATGTTACACTCCTCCAGGCGAGACATGTCTTTGAAGCTTACTCCTTCCTTCACATCTCCAGGGTTCACTTGAAAGATACTTCCCAGCACTTCTGCCCTCATTTTGCGATCAAAATATTCCTTGGCAAACTGGGGATTGTTCTCCAAGTATTTTTCAACAGCATCTTTATTTACCTCACCCATTTTTGCTGGATTGTTCTTAGGATTTCTTTCAGAACTTCATCACCATCAAAGCAGAAGCGGTAGCAAGAAGTACTAACTTGGTACTAGCAAGGAAACAGTACTTTGTACATACTGTACAAAGGCATAGTACATTCAGCTTCCTCTGTGACTTCCAAGCCTTCTGAAACTCTTGAGATATGACAGAAGGCACTGGCTTAGTGTCTTCTTAGTGTGAGATCTTGGAGACTGCTAATTAAAGAGATGTCAGGACACTAAACCCCTAAGCATTCTTAGCTCATAAATCCCAAAGGAGTCATTTTAGTATTTGAAACTAACCAATGAATTCTTAGACCTTATCAAAGTAGGTGTAGTCTTGTAAGTTTTCTCATTCACTTGCAGTGGGTAAATTCAACTATACACCCAACATTTTCCATTGAAACTTAATTCCAGGAACTCCACTTAGATACTTATCCTACATTGTACATGTGCACAGACATGTACACGTGTATTTGTGAGAGGTGCTTAAAGAGAGAAAAACAGAATGTTATAGATTTTTTTTAATTGTGAAATTTGTTTTTCCTTCATTAAGTCAAGAGAAGATTGAATTTATATTACTAAAAGTGAATAACTACCAAGTTATATGTGCATAAAATGCATGAAATCCTAACGACTTTAAACAGTCTGAGCTTGGCCATGTCATTTACACAGGTAAAGATGAAATAAAGGAATGAGGATATGCTTAAGCACAAACAGATATGATTTCTATGTAAATGTTTGGGTATTTTTTCCAAAAATTATTAATCTAAATGAAATTGTGAAATCAGAAAATGGCTTGAATACAAGATTGAGTTCAGAATCCAACAAAATTCTTAGTCTATAAGCACAAATGACTAAATAGGGTTCTTCAAGCAATGTGGTTTCTTTTGTTCTTTCTTCAGAAAAAGTGGCTGATCTCTGCTCTCTTAATTGGCAGAAAAAATGGTAATAACTGACAGATACTGTGTGGAGAGGGAACCTTGAGATTGGTTGTAGTTTTATGGTATGTTTGAAGTTTCCTACCATTGGGAGTTTGTAATTGCTCATGTGGATTTTCTGTAAAGGGGAGGTGCAAAGAAGATGCAAGCAGGCTCTTTCTAGTGGGGCCCAGTGACAGGACAAAAACCAATGTTCCGTCAGTATATTTGGAAACACTTCTTTCACTGTGGAGGTGACAATCACCAGGGAAGGCTCAGGTTGGATATTAGGAAAAATTTCTTCTCTGAAAGAGCAGTCAGGTGCTGGAACACGCTGCCCAGGGAGGTGGTTGAGTAACTGTCCCTGGAGATGTCCAAGAAATGTTTAGATGTGGTACTAGGAGACATGGTTTAGCAGGGGAATATTGATGGTAGGTGAATGGTTGGACTAGATGAGCCTGGAGGTCTTTTCCAACCTTGGTGTTTCTGAGTCTATGAATTGATGTAGCAGGTTGCCCGGTGAGGATTTGGAGTCTCCCTCCTTGGACATATTCAAATTAAACAGAATGCTTGGATAGAGGTACCTTTCAGCATAAACCATTTTGTAAATGGAAAAGGAATGTTGAAAATTGTAGTTGATTTTAAGGGCTAACATCCGCTGGAGCAGATATAGATACCAGCAGAGCTGCAATATAATTCATCTTGGTTTATCTTTTTTGTTTATTTGTTTTTTTCTGGTATCTACGTTGATCAAGAAGAGCAAAAAGAGATTCTTGGTATAAGAAAAATAGATCATATGTTTTTTGGCAATTCTTAATTTGAGAGGAGTAATTATCAAGGTACAACTTAATGTTATCTGTGATATTACCATTTTTGTGCATACAATGGCATGTCACAAATATTTCACAACAATGGTATTCTTCATTAGAAACTCCTTCATAATTCACCTTCAGATTGACAATGTATCTCACAATAGTTGGTCTATTAGCTGCATCAGGCGTAGTTTCAGTATGGGTACCTTCACAGTACTCTAGAAACTGGAGATTTTTAAGGAGTTACGTAATTATACATTCGATTAAAAATGCATTGTGCATTGTATGTGTTGTTTCACTTAGATCCTTAAAAGTGCAGATTCACGTTATCTTCTGGTTCTGCCTCAAGCCACATGGATTTTTTTGTCATCCTTTTGTTGACTAGAAGATTTCTGAATTTTGTTTCTTTGTTTCAGCTTAACCAGGGCACAAATATGGTTTCTTTGTGTTATGAAATGGTGTGTACACACAATAACACAAACACATAAGTATTATAGTTTTAAAAACATTTGTATTGATTTCTTTTCTGGTTTTGTAAAAGTCAACCTTTAGTAAGCTATCTAGCAATTTCATTATTGTGTGTGCTCATCTTTTAAGATATAGAACACATTAGATTGCTTATCATGATTCCACTACATCTAAATCACAACTGATGATAAATTGCTCTATTTGTACTTTGAGTTGACAAGCGAAGCCTGTATTTTAATTAGCATTTTCTGTATATCAGCTGATAAACTTTCTTTGTAAAAAAGTATTTCAGATGTACCAGAATTATGTAATCTTTCTTAAATAATCATCTCTTTATTTTTTCCTCTTAATTAAGACTCACTCTCAGAATTGCACTCTTATTCTGTTAAGCGGTTGTGAAATGTCATGTAAAGAAGTATTAGAATCTGGTAGAAGTTCTTAATGAAGTTTATGTTTGGAAGAGGGCTAAGTTGGCTTTTTTCAGTAACTGTTAAATTAAGTCATGATATGTTTCATACTGAACTCCATGTATGTATTGATTAATCCTGAATATTAAGACTGTGCAGGAATAAGGCATTTGTTTTCTGTTCCAGCTTCTCTATTCTCATATTCCACAATATTGAATATTAGGTTTTTAGTAATGCAGGTTCACAGTTGTATTTAAGATTATTTTGAAAATATGTTTGGTATGATTTCTTGCACTAAGGTCAATAATACCAGCTTTTAAGGAAATGCATTTTAATTTAGGGTCTGTTTTATGCATAGATGTTTAACGTTGGCAGCTAATCTTGCATTATCATTTTCACTGAACTTTTCAAGGCAAAGCTAATATACATTTGGCCTTTATCTTTGTCTATGCTGAGGTGGTTTCAGTTTAAAAACATAATGGTGTTATATTTTTGCAAATTGTTTTAGTTGTAGAGAATACTGAAAGCATATGTACGTTGTGATTTTAATATATGTGGTGCATACATTTTCCTTTGATGTTCACATTCACTACAGAAATCAGAACTATTTATGGAATAGTTCTTAGTAGTAGACCATTGCTGAGCCCTTGTGATACATGGAAACTCCTAAGAAGGATAACTGGGAGACATGTTATTTAAATAGAAGCAAGTAGCACGTAAAAGTCTAAGGTATTTATAAGGTTTCCAGCTCAGTGTTTGCATCTCAGTGTGTCTATCTGTCTTTATAGCAGTTACTATGGTTAATTCAGTTTCGGAAGAAATACAGATCAGATGTGCTTATTTCAGTTGCATGGATTTCTGTGTGGATGATTTTGTGCCACTATTGGCATACAGGAGAAAATATAGTTCAGAAATATTGTTTCTAAATGACTGGGTAATTTATCTGATAGCTACCTATCCTATAGGTATTTACAGTCAGTACTGTGTGCCCCTAACGAAGACAGTTTTTGGCACTAAAATGGTTTGGTATCACTGATCTGGTACAAAACAATATCAACTTTTATGTTTCCTTTAAAATAATTCTCTAAGTGAAAAAGTAATCTTAAAAATTCAAACAGTAAAAATAGTAAATTATCTACTTTTTCTGTATTGACTGCAGGTTTTCACGATGCCTTAAATCAAGAATTAGCTTTCATGTTTCATTACACAAATAGTCAACAGGGATTTGCAGCCTCTCAGGGAAGTTCATGGAGTCCAGTCTAGCATGAAGGAGTTAGCTTGGTCTGCTGGATGCCCTCTAGATTTGACCATGGTGGGTTCCTTGCTAGCTTGGCTTGAATTTGAGTGTATGGACTAAGCAAAGGACAGCCTTTTGATCTTCATTTCATCCACTTTTGCATTTTTTCCTTGGTGATCTCAGATTACCTGACCAATTTTAAATTTGTTTCTCACCAGTGAAATGGAATCAGTTTGTGTACAGTTACAGCAATGCTGCAGCAGATAATTGGCCTACTTGTGGGGAAGGCTTAGGAAACTGTTACACATACAGAAGTGTTCTCAAAGTTATTCATTCAATTATTTTTTGTATCATCAGTACATCATTGTTAAAGTTCTATGGGGTGTCTGTGAGTTTTGCAAGAACAAACAATTCTGACAGCTAAAGACTAAAGACTATATCAAAAAGGAGTTAAAATATTTTGCAGAGGAATTATATTCATTTTTCCTATTTAAATCTAATACTTTCCTTTCCTCTCTTAGCATGTAAGTTGTATGTTCATTTATCTAATCTAAGAAGTATTTGAACATATAATAAATCTCAATCCTGAAGAGCTATGAGGTGATATAATAATTTTAAAGGCAGTATAAGAAAATCTCACTTTTTTTTCTTACTGCTCTTACAGGCACAAATACCACAAATACTGATTTGCTCAAAATAGCATCAAAGGTAGGCAGCTGTTGGATAAACAATTGCAAAGCTTTCACTGTGAAGAAGTCTTACAAGAAAACAGAGCTACTATGATGTATTAAAAATAGAGGTATTTAATTGATAAACCATTTCTCTCTGTTGCCCAGAAAATGTTTTCTGAAGGCAGTTCTCTGAATCATTTTTTGTTATTCAGTACTGTGGACAATAACATTCCAGTGAATGCTTTCCTGGTTATCCATTATAGAATTTAACTGAAGGTAGGAAAACAAATTGGATAACTGGGGAACAGTTGATCCTTAATTATCATTTTATTATTATTATTTTTTGGTATTTAATGTTGACTGTGAGTTGCTTTTGGTTATTATCTCCTGTATAAACACAAATTGTTTATTATAGTCAGTATCATCCTAAAGCTCCTGAAAAGAATTCAATCATTATAATTACACTGTAGGTT